GGGGGGTTTGATAGGTGGAAAGAGGGTTGCGAGACAATGAAGCTTGTTGAAGATGTCCAGCTCACGTGATCAATCAGGTCTAACTGGCCTGAGAAGAATAGCTTCGTAGTTGGGGGAGGCCTTGTGGGTGTCCGCCTGAAACGATCGTCTATTATTTCTGTCAGAGGTAGGCAACAGCGACGGCGTCTAGGCAATTGAGTACACGCTACCCTGTTCCTTGACAGCCTTCGCGTGTATAGTGCAATTAATCAAGCAACAGTGACTTGTCGGAATTAGGGTATTCCTTGGTGCAATCATGGTCACTGTGCTGCCGCCGAGTGCTACCGCTCGAGTTTGAGAACCCGTCTTTCAACCGCACTGGGAAAAAGACCTAACAAGGCTATCCATGGGAAGTCCGCCGGTGAGGGTGATCGTAGCATTCAGCCGTGGCTCGAAACTGGCCATACAGATGCAGCTATGATAATTGCGAGCATATAGGCCAGGACATCAAAAAGGCTAGCATAGACAGGTTAGAGGGGAGCGAGCAGAAGTGGCCGCAGGAACTCGTGCGAAGGGGTCAGTCGGACTTGCGTAGGTTTGAGTCATTTTCACCAATCAGTGATGATCGCATGAAGGCCAAATTTTGTGTTAGACGGTCAGGCGAAGCTGAGAGTCGAAGGGCGACGGCGCAGGGATATCTTGGGAACGCGGAAAGCAGCGTGGAGGGAGCTCGGCAGAATCGGCCGCTTGGTCGTTAAGAGGTCGGTCGGCAGCGAAGACAGCCGCTCCTTACCACTCTAGGCAACGCCGGCCGATCGAAGCCCGGCCTAGAAGTGTGCGTACACCGACGCTGCTTTTGAGAAGGCTGCGGTGCTATTGGATGCATCCTAGGCCATCACGGGCGGCTCAACGATGGATCAATCACGGCCGTCTCGAAGAAGATCCATCAAGGTGAGCGGGGATCCAAGTTGGCCATGGGCACCAAGGCGGCAGGGTGTTTCGCCCCCACGACACAGGTGAGGTCTTCCCAGCTCGCGCAAGCCGGGGGTGAGCACAGGGCGGCATCACCTTCGATCCCAAACGGGGTGAGCCGCGAGCAGTTTTTACTGGCCTTGGCACCTCTGGTAGCATCGACGAGTGCTAATTACGAGTCTGACATGACTACAAAGTCTATCGACACATAGCGTGGACTTATGATAACACTGTGCGTCGGGTCTTGGGGGTATTCTGTTGTTTTCCAACGCCATCCGTTCAAGCCACCTGAGTCATCCTTGTATAATTCGTTCTTCCGGATCTGTCGGTAATGAGGAAATAAGGCAAAAACATATATATATGTACAGGATCTTCTCGAGGAAAGCCCCGAGATTGCAATCCAGCCCAGCATCAAGGACATTGAATCTTTCGAGGATACCACCATCTAGAGGGTTTTGTTTCTCCAAGAGTTTAGACATGGACGCTGATCAATTCCGGAAAGCTGCCCACGCAGCCATTGAAGAGAGTGTGTTTCCAATCCTGAACGAAAAGAAAAGAAATCCACGACTAACACCGTGCTCCCTCCTCTAGTCATTGCCTACAATCAAGAGCTTCCCAACTACCCTGTGCTGCCGACGATCAAGCCAGGATACCTCGCACCACAGCTGCCTTCGTCGGCACCAGAAAAGCCAGAGTCATGGTCCGAAATCCAGTCAGATATTGGGTCGAAAATTGTGCCCGGTATCACTCACTGGCAGTCACCCAACTTCATGGCCTTCTTCCCGGCTGGTGTCACCTACCCGTCCATGCTCGGGGAGATGTACTCTGCCGCATTCACGGCGCCGGCATTCAATTGGTTGTGCAGTCCTGCGTGCACGGAGCTGGAAACCGTGGTGATGGACTGGTTGGCTCGGGCTCTTCAACTGCCCGAGGAATTTCTCAGCACGGGTGCCAGCGGCGGCGGAGGCACTATTCAAGGCAGTGCCAGTGAGGCGATAGTGACCTGCATGGTCGCTGCGAGGGAGAGGTATTTGCATAACAAGTGTGATGCAGAAGGCCTGAAACCTGGATCGCTCGAGAGAGAAGACCGCATTGCCTTCTTGAGAGGTCGGCTGGTGGCCTTGTCGAGTGATCAAGCCCATTCTTCGACGCAAAAGGGTGCTTTGATCGCCGGAACGCGGTACAAGTCTATCCCGACTAAGCTTGAGAATGAGTTGTCATTGCAGAGGGAAGAGCTGGAAGCTGTCCTGGAGCAATGCAAGGCTGAAGGTCTCGAACCCTACTACATCACCCTGACGCTGGGCACAACCTCGACATGTGCAGTTGACGACTTTGCGGGTCTCGCGCCAGTCCTGAAAGCCAACCCAGGCATCTGGGTTCACATTGATGCGGCCTACGCTGGAGCGGCCTTGGTCCGACCCGAATTCTCCTCCAAGTACTCTCCACAAATGATCATCGCCGACTCGTTCAACATGAACATGCACAAATGGCTCCTAGTCAACTTTGACGCCTCCTGTCTGTTTGTCCAGAACAGGAACCATTTGACGCGTGCATTGTCTATATCTGCCGCCTATTATACGAACAAACACTCGGACAGTGGTCTGGTCACGGACTATCGAGACTGGCAAATCCCCCTGGGGAGAAGATTTCGAGCTCTGAAGATCTGGTTTGTTATGCGGAGTTATGGCCTAGAAGGGATGAGGGAGCATATCAGAAAGTCGCTGGAGAGAGGTGAGGTTTTTGCTGACCTTGTCCGAGGAAGGAGTGACCTGTTCGAGCTGGTCGCCGAGCCGAGATTTGGTTTGGTCTGTTTCCGGGTCAAACCCTCTGCCCTGGTAGAGCAGGCGAATACGGCGGAGACGAATGCCGATTTCCTGCCACAGACTGCAGCGAAGCAACAAAAAGAACAGGATGCGAACGAGGTGACGAGGCACATTGGAGATCTGATCAACGAGCGAGGTCAGATTTTCATCACCTGCAGCAGCACCGCGGGCAAATCCTTCATGCGGGTCGTCAGTGGCAACCCGCATGGAGAAGAGAAGTATGTGAGGGCAGCCTTTGAGATCATTACGAAAACGACGGAGGAGGTCATTGCCTCGAAGAAGCCAGGGAATGAGATGAATTGACCAAAGCGGGATGTACTGTATATACACACTCCATTCCTGAGCGATTCCGCCTTGCTTAGGCTGGTTGAGCTTTGATAGATAATAGACCATGAGCATGCATATCTCAAATGGCCATTGGGGACACAGCATGCTTGTGAAGTAATCCACTACTATGGGCGAACAATGCCGCTGCTGATGTAAAGGAGAGCTGTGCAGTTGAAGTTCTAATAGAGGAAGTTGGTCGTGGCTCGGCGCACGACGCGTCCGCTCAGAACACGCGTAAAGTGGTAAATTCTCCCACCAAGACCAACGATTCCTATCCTCACCACAGTCCGAATATTTTGTCACTTTCCCTGAAGACTGCTGTGCCTCAAATGGAGAGCTTCGGAGGCAATGCTGGCTACGGCGATGCCAATAAAGCATTCCTACAGGCCTTTCTTGCCCGCAGCGTCCTAACCCTTGAGACGGCCAAACCCATCATTGCAGCATGTTCGTCATTTCAAGAGAAACGCGAAGTCCTGCCTCAAGATGTCACGGTTGAAGATCTGAACGACTACATCGCAGAAGCAAATCGCAGACTGTCCCCCCTCGACCTCGAGATCAGAAGTACCTTCCACCAGCAGACCCGCGAAAGAGTGTGGGCGCTGGTGAATATCACGAGCGATCCTCTTACTCAGCTCGCCACGACATACACAGCCGACGAAATTGTCTATGTGAAAAAGCTACTCGATGCAATGTTTGATGGACAGAACAACAGGGGGAAAAGAGAAGCCATGTGTATAAGCGGCATCGATGCGATTCAGGTTGGTCGCACCCCTCTCCGCCGCCAGACGTCTGAAGAGAATGAAACCGGGGCACAGTCATCTGCTGGCATGCTCGGCGCTAAGGATGCTGAGAATATGCTGCACCGAATGCAGAGCGAAGGGTGGCTAGAAAAGAGTCGAGCCGGGTTTTACAGCTTGAGTCCTCGTGCCTTGATGGAACTCAAGGGCTGGCTGGTGGACACCTACAATGACGAAGACGAAGACGGCAATAAGAAAGAGAAGATCAAGTTCTGTCATGCTTGCAAGGAGATCATTACGGTGGTAAGATATGATACCGCACGTTCTTTTCAATTTCCCCCTATTTACGAGAGCTGACACATTTCTCAACTGCCCAGGGTCAACGGTGTCCTCAGCGTGATTGCCCTTGCCGAATACATGATATCTGTACCCAGAATTTCTTTCGAATACACCGATCCTCGAGGTGTCCACTATGCAGGACTGCATGGGACGGCGAACATTTTGTAGGTGAAAAGGCCATCACCACCTCGGAAAGCTATCAGACTGGAAAGAGAAGGAGTGGTGCATACAACAGACCCAGACGCAGCAACAATGAGGCTGAGGAAGTAGAAGGATGACTGGCTGTACGTCGAAGTGTACTTCGTATGTAACCTTGCGATTACGGGAAAATCCTTCAGATGCACGGAGTTGGCACTCGATCTCCACAGACATATCTCGGGCACCGTATCCGGGTAATGGCCTCTGAGCAGGAAATCCTTGACGCTCCAAGCAGGTCCAAGCCCGGATCGACTCATCGCAGGCAAATTTGCATGCCGTTACTCCACCAGACACGCGGCGACGACGTGCCCCAAGCTTGGAAGTGGGTGACACCTAGAGGTCACGACAACGGTGGCGCTCTATCGCAGACCCTAGGAAATGCGCCGAGCTCTCCAATGATGCTTCCCCAGGCACAAGATTCCGCCACTTCCCACTTCCCCACACAAAGAAAGCGACCTGCCACGAAACCCAATCTAGCAGGTCTAGGAGCCTTCCAAGTTAGACAGTCCTTTACGGCGAGGTCGTAGTACCTCCGCATCCTTTTACGTTCATCCCACAAATGACGTCGTATTGGATCCATTAAACCGCTCGACAATCGTCCTATGATGGCCACAGTCACCGATGATCCCGGTCAATGTGACTACAAGGACGAGCAAATCAAGTATGGTATTGCTTGGTCAAATGTAACTGTCTGCAAGAAGGGCGTTCTGTCGGTCTTACGCTCATTGCCTGGATTTGATGTAGACTTGGACAACTCACTTATACAGCAGGAACTTCCCGTACCTACCAGTCAAGCTCCTCTCTCTGTCACATGGTCGGTACGCTTCTCCTTCATTCATGAGGTAACTAGTGGCCAGAGCTCAAAACCTGGACGGTTCCTGTCATCAATCTTCCCTTCGTTGTAGCTTCAATCAACATCATAGCAAGCCCATTGTCGATTTTCTCTTGGACAAAGACAACAAGTAACGACCAGACCGCCTAGGGTAAGTGAGAAAACCGTCGAGAGAGAAGTCGGATCAAACTGACTCCATCAGATGGCTGGGTCAAGCCTCACAAGGCTCTTTGGCCTGCTTCTCACCATATGCTTATCCTCCTTCACATCTGCTCAATCTGGTAATGCATCAACCATATACAAGACTCGATTTGAGGGTGTTACCTGGGACGCTGCGAACTGGGTGCTCACGACCACCGAGCTAGATCAAGGACATTATCAATCTCGAATGGTTGTTGCAAATGGCTATCATGGCATCAACGTGGCAGCTCTAGGTCCATTCTTCGAAATTGACACTCCCGTTGACGGTGATAATATCAACGGCTGGCCCCTGTTTGGTCGACGACAAACCTTTGCCACAGTCGGGGGTTTCTGGGACTCCCAACCTACAACCAACGGCTCCAACTTCCCCTGGCTGTATCAGTATGGCTGGGATACGGCCATCAGTGGCATCCCTCACTGGAGCGGCATTGTGGCAGATTTGGGAGGCGACAACTACTTGGCTGCTTCGACTGATGATTCGACCATCAGCAATTTCAGATCTAGCCTCGACATGAAGCGTGGTCTGATGAACTGGGCTTTTACATGGTCTCCAAATGGTCATGGGTCGTTCAACGTCTCCTACCAAATGTTCGCACACAAGCTCAATCTCAACCAGGGCTTTGTTACAATGAACATTACTGCGACCAATGCCACCAACTTAACAATAGCAAATGTGCTCAACGGAGACTGTGCTGTCCGTACAACCCCTGGACAGAACGGCATTGATTCTGGGCTCATTTTCACCTCTGTCCAGCCGAACGGTATTCATAACGTGACAGCATTTGTATATGCTGGTATGACCAGCACTGGCGCTACAGTACGCTCGGTTCAGCAAGCCACATGGCAGAGGCCGTACGTCGGCAACAATGAATCCTCTGTGGCATCTGCGTTGAATGTCACCCTTCAAGCTGGACAGGTTGCTACGTTCACCAAATTTGTCGGAATCGCCTCAACTGATGGGTTTTTGACCCCTCGTCCTGTTGCCAAGAATGCCGCACTTGCCGCAAGACAGGCTGGGTACGCTGCCTCATTGCAGACTCACACTGCGGAATGGGCAGAACAGTTCCCTGTCTCGTCCGTCGACGATTTCTCTTTTCCAGAGAACGGCACACTGCCAGACGACGAGTTTATCCTCGAGGCAGCAATTACAGCAGTGACAAATCCCTACCATCTTCTTCAGAACACTATTTCACAAAATTCGATCACCGCGACAGCCAACGCGACTAGTTCGTTCAATAGCCACAGCATCGCAGTAGGTGGGTTGGGCTCAGATTCATATGCTGGGCAGATCTTCTGGGACGCTGAGATATGGATGCAACCTGGACTGGCAGCAGCCTTCCCATCGGCGGCAAAGGGTATCGCGAACTACCGCGTGGAGAGGTACCAGCAGGCGAAGCGAAATATTGGCACCGCATTCGCCTCGTCCAAGAACGACACCAAATTCAGCTCCGACTCAGCAATATTCCCCTGGACCAGTGGACGTTTTGGCAACTGTACAGCTACAGGACCTTGCTGGGACTACGAGTATCATCTGAACGGCGACATTGGCTTAGAATTCATCAATCTGTGGATCTCATCTGGCGACACGGCAATGTTTGAGGAGTCTCTCTGGCCGATCTACGACTCTGTTGCCACAATGTACTCGGAAATCCTTGAGCGAAACGGTTCTCACTGGTCTCTCCTGAATATGACTGACCCTGACGAGTACGCCAACCACGTCGACAACGGAGGTTTCACCATGGCTTTGATTTCTACACATCTCAACTATGCTAATCAGTTCCGCTCCATGTTTAATTCCACACCCAACGAAACTTGGACGACGATGGCTCAAAACGTGCTAATAGGCCGTGATCAAGACGCGGATGTCACACTAGAATACACTGGCATGAACGGCACGACGGTGGTAAAACAGGCTGATGTCATTCTCAATACTTATCCGCTGTCCTTCACCGGGCAGAATTACACCTCTGAGGACTCGCTCAATGATCTCGACTATTATGCCGCGCTGCAGTCCGTGGACGGCCCCGCCATGACATATGCGATCTTCTCTATCATCGCAAACCAGATATCGCCTTCTGGGTGTTCTTCTTATACCTATCAGCAATATAGCTCGCATCCCTACCTCAGGGGCCCGTGGTTCCAGCTCTCCGAACAATTGGTCGACAACTGGAACGAGAATGGCGGAACGCACCCTGCATATCCGTTCCTCACAGGCCACGGAGGAGCACTGCAGGTCGTGCTGTTCGGATATCTGGGATTTCGTTTTGTTCCCGATTTCAATCTGCACATTGACCCCAGTCTGCCGCCTCAGATCCCGCAGATCAGATACCGCACCTTCCACTGGTACGGCTGGCCGATCTCGGCATTTTCTAATCAGACCCATACCACCTTGACGCGAGATGGGAGCCTCGCCCCTGGTGAGGGCGCTGTTCCGAACGCCACCTATGCGACCGCTGCCATTCCCGTCGTGGTTGGTCCTATTGGCTCAGCACCCCTTGCCACCTATTCCCTGGCACCCAATTCCAGCATCACAGTCCCCAACAGACAGATCGGCCTCATCCCCACGACCGAGAACAATGTCGCCCAGTGCCTCCCCGTCTCCTCCCCGGACGACTACCTGCCAGGCCAGTTTCCGCTTGCGGCAGTCGACGGCGCGACAAGTACGAAATGGCAGCCCGTGTTCGCCAACAAGACCAGCTCCATCACAGTGGCCATCCCGGAGGGATTCCAGGTGACAGGAATGGTGTTGAACTGGGGCCAGATCCCACCGTATAACTACTCGGTGTTGTTCCACAACCAGTCCCTCGCGAACCCCTCAGCCGCGACCATCAACTCGAGCAACGTCCTCGAAGTCGCGACAAACGAGCGAGTGCGCATCTCCGACCCTTACAACGTCACGGCGCTGAACTCGATCGAGGCCGTGCAGGATAACATCACCACATTTGACATCCCCGCGACCGCTGCCCCTGTGTTCACCGCGCGCTTCGCCACCCTGCGCATCTGGGGCTCGCTGTACAACTCCAGCGTCAGCGCGACCAACATGACCGGCGACGGCGCGACGGTCGCCGAATGGAGCATCCTCGTCGAGGGTCTCCAGAGCCCCAACGCCAGTGCCACCACCGGAGGACCAGTTCGGAGAGATCTGGGCGGCAATCTCAAGGCCAGGGACGATTTCGGTCGTCTAGACGCAGACTTGTTGAGGAAGCTGGGCCATGTCGCGAGATATATGAATGTGGATGCGCGCAAGAGGCCTGCGAGGTGAAGAAGAGTGCGTGTATCATCCCTCATCGAGAGAAATGAAATGCAGAGAAGGAGAGAGAGACACACTCGCCATGCCGTTGGAGGCAGGCGAGACGAAGAACGAAAACAATTGTGCTTAATAAGAATGAAAAACCCGATAGGCAGGACAAAAGTCACTTTGATCAAGTATTGCTTGCTCTCTTGTTGTGGAATTTAACGTGGTTCACCATTTTGCCATTCCACCAAGGGTGCCCTGTCGGCTAGTGTGTCAGTCGATCGTTGATCACGTTTACTTCGATCGTCCGCCACGCATGCCGTTTCATTTCCCACAGAATAAACCAATTCCATATTCATCAGGCTCCAATGCGCAGAAGCACATTCACGCGTCTGTATCTAGAGGTTCGTGACCAGAATTCCCCAATTATCCGTCATACGAGAACTCGTGGTCGTGGATCCTGCTTTCATGTCTCTAAGCGGCCTCCTTCGGGTAGATCGCCGAGTCGTCCGGGCGCGGGAGAGGGATTCGACGTAGCGCCCTTCTAGGACGCTGAGTGACAAAGGCGTGCGTGCTCGTCGTTGATCGAAGAAACGAATAATCGGTTGCTGCAATTCTGCCCTCAAGTAGGGTCCTTGACCAGCCATTTTCTCATTGTGTATCAAGATGTTTTGAGATGCTGGTGTAAAGTTTTGGTGTGATGACCTTTGCGTAGGTTTGCCTGGTACGCGATTTCTGTGTCTGGGTTCACCAGCGTCCAGAATAAATCGATAGTACAGATGTTTATACAAATGTTGTAGTGTTTCTTGCTCGAGCGATACAATGTCCGTCTCTGATGAGTTGCAGAGATTGCTTATCCAGGCTTGTTGTAGCTTCCTTCAGCCAGGTGTTGTGTCGGAGAACATTGCTGGTTTCTGAAAGGTAATGGCAACATCAACCGTCCTGTAAGAATGGCCATCACTGTGAGCCTTCCAGCGAGATCATCGGTACCGTTTCCCGCCTGCAATGTATGGCAACCTTCAGGGCATTATTCTGTGCCCTTGTCACATGTCGTTCGGTCCGGCGCCACCACCCTCCATCCTGCCCCTAGCCTCTCCCAGTAGCGCTTCCTGCATCTTCCTTAGTTCCTCCTCTCCCATTTTATCGAACCCGCCGAAGTTGCGCATTTTCTCGCCTCTTCCGATTCTCTTCTTCTGCACCTCTTGCCATTCGCCCACGACCCCGCGGCAGCCTTCGATGTAACTTCCAAATCCCAGGTCGGTGAGCGCTTGTTCAACATGTTCGACGCTGATGGTTTTTTTGGACTCGCGCTCAGAGATTTCGTTTGATTCAGAGGAGAGCATGCGTAGGAACTCGAGTGAACAGGAAATGAGGAGGTCGCGGGCCGGGCGCGTGAAGGTCATCTCACCTTCCTTACCACCGTTGGTATCGTCATGAGGGAGTTGTGGTAGGATTTCAGAGATGATCTTTTGAACGGTAGCCTTGGGAAGAGACAGGTCGTCGTTGTCTGTCAACAGGTCAGTAATTGCGCCAACAAGTTTCTTGGGTCTTTGGGGTCGCAACATACTGCCAAATTCTTTGTCCGACATGATGACAGAGTGTATCTACTTTAGCGTAGGAGGTGTATGCGTCTAGGGTCTTCTGAAGTCTCACGGGCCCAGCCCAGGTGAGGACGAGGGGGAGGGATGAGGGTGTTAAATAGAAGTTGCGACATGATGCGCGACCAGGGCCCGGCCGGCCTTCCGAAACAGGAAACGCGCAAATCATGTCTTGGCACAGAGTCAATTTCTTTTTTCCGAAGTTGCGTTTTGTTTTCACTTTTGATTCTCTTCATCACAAACAACGACAAACAACCATCTACACCAATGATAATGCTTATGGTGACGGTTCATCCGCATGTTTGCTATCAACATTGACGAATGAATCTGCCCTCGATAGAGCGACGAGACTTTGAACCGACTACAGCTCGTTATAGATCGGTGTACTGACTGATAGACGTGATGTACAGAGGAGGCCCCCCTGATCCTGATTCACCATGCTGGTCGATGCCTGGTAAGTGGCTCTTGTCCTGGTCTTCCCTCACACATCTCCAATATGATGAATATTCGTGTCGCCCCTATCTTACCAAATTATGGTGATTACCCGTCCAAACCCAAACAGGACCTTCTGAACATTTCTCATCTTCCTTCAAACTACTGACTACTGTTGATTGTACGTGGTTACTGACATCTTACAGACTAACAACAGACCTCTTGTCCCTGACAGCTGGAAAGCTGGTTATGGTGTATGTTCGCCCCGTCTCTATCAATTTCCTACCCGATTTCCAATGATGATCAACACTATGTACTATCAAATTCGGAAATACAATTGACGAATACACTGGTTCGATTACCTGAACGAGACTCGCACGACATCACATCATTTGACCTTGTTTGATTCCGGGACCGTTGCCTAACTGTGGACTTGGAAGTTTAGGTCCATCATTGTTACAGGACTGTTACTCCCTCGTGATGGTAAGTCCCACCAGTCATTCCAACCAAGTTCTTCGTGATGAACTCACCACTCTTCCATGCTAAGTATGAAGGTCCACTGGATCTAATGCTTAAGCTTGTGTATTCATTTTTCATCTTTCGCCTGATTCTCAAACCTGTCCCTCTATGTCTTGTCTATATTCTTCTCGATACCTACTAACAACGGGAGAGCAGATGCTACGAGTACTATTCCAATCGTTCTATTGAATCTTTGTCAAGTATGAATTTCTGTATCATTTGTACAAATCAGTTTCGATCGGTAGTATCACGGTCGGCTTCTGAGGCCCCGAGACCTCGTCGATCTCGGTCGAATTCGCGCACTACTCAGCCTGGTATTCGGCTAATTGGGGATCATCCCAACTTGGAAACGTGTCAATAAGATTCCATATACAATGCTAGGTTGATAGTGTCTCACCTTAGAAACAATCCCGATAACTCGGGTTTCGCCTTCACGGCCAATTCCGCAATCACATTCCCTGGTTTCTCCGGCGGCAAGAGTTTCCCATCCCTTTTTGCGCTCAAGAACTTCTGTTGGTCCTTGTCGTCCATGTTGCGAATGAACTTCTCCCTGATGTCCGTCTGCATGGCCGTGTCAACGACCCCGGGTCGAATTGATATGGTCGTTACGTCAGGCTCCTCAGCCTTCAGCGTCATGGCTAAGTGGTTAATGGCTGCTTTCGTGGCACCATATACTCCCCACGAGGGATACGCGTTCATGGCGGCGCCCGAGGATGTGAAGACGATACGGCCCTTTGCGCTGCGGAGGAGAGGGAGTGTTTGTTGGATCTGATCGGATGTTGTGATCACGGGTTAGACTTGTGCCGACAGTAGTTGATGGTGGGTGAATGTAGGAAGCCTCGTAGGTTGATCTTACCAAGACAACGCAACTCGTCACATTGATCCTGAATGTGCGTTCCCATTCGTCACTATCCATCTGCCCTATCCTGAAGCACTTTCCCAAGCTTCCGTGGTTCAGAATCAACCCGTCGAGTCGGCCGTCAAACTGCACGTCTCGCAGCATCCCTTGGACGAAGTCCAGGTCAGCCATATCTCCCGCCCTAGTGATGACCCGGTCTGGATTGTCGGACTGGAACTTGCTGAGCACATCGGCCTTGCGCCCAGACAGGATGAGGAGGTGCTGATCGCCGGAGGACAGGAGGTGGTTGGCGATGGCGAACCCGATCCCGGCCGTCGCCCCGGTCACGAAGATGGTGCGAGAGGAGGGATATTGAGTCTATCGAGGGGAGATTGTTGTTAGAAGAGCAAGGATGTCCGAGAACCACCATGTTCAATGTTTGGTGAGCAATATATGCTTGAGCAAGAATTTGTATCAGAGACATACGCGGTGCTTCGATATGAAGTCCGGCGAACTTCCAAAATAATTCTTTTCGGCAGACATTGTTGAGATGTGGATCTGCCTCGTGAACTTCCAGGCTCTGAAACTATATCGAGAAGACAAGATGTTGAAACTGGGCAAGCAACTCCGTGAATGTAGCAGCATCAAATCACACTTGGTTTCGTAGAGAGTTGCACGGTTTCACTACAAACCCAAGTCGAGGCAAAAATTTGAGTCGGACATGTCCATATCAATCCATTTCACGAATGACGTCAATGCGCCTTGGGGACTTTTGTCACTTTATTCAATCTGTTGTTGTCCTTCATCCTCATCGTCGTTCATGCGTACAGAACCAGCATCAGCTCAGGAAGGCACATGGCCTTAATCATCCAATCGCCTCCGGAGATCCATTCCAAGGCTGGTTCCCTGCACCAGGTGAAGTCCCATGTCCCTCGATTGCGGGCGGAGTGAAGACTCCGAACTCCGAGAAGCGGGGACAATCACGACAGATGGTGAGGTTTCTCTGGGGAATGACGGACGGCGTGAATACCATGGGACACTTATACAAGTCGCCTTTCGGCCCGAGGCACCTTTTTGTCAGCTTGAGTTGATGGATCATTTCTCTATATAACTGTGACAGGATAGTGCTGTATCCGGACTGGCTTCTTGAGTAACAGACAGTATACATCACAGCCCAGCGGAAAGATCTATCGCCACCATGGCCGCGAAATTCGAAAGGCTTGTCAGGTTCAAGGCCGCGGACGGTCAAATGTATTACGGCGAGGCCGGTTCAGACTGGGAGTCCGATCTCAAGCGGAGGGAAGTCCAGATCTTCTCGGGCCTGGATCCCTTTGACAGCAATTTCAAACTCCTGGACAAGAAAGCCGTCATATCCGAGGTTGGAATATGTGTCAGGTTCTTGTACTTCTTGCTCACATATTCTAGGTCTTGAGCCCTCTGGAGAAAGTGCCACTCACTATCGGTATAGGACTGAATTACAGGAAGCATGCTGAAGAAGCGAACGTAAGTGGGCAAGAGAACATTGAGTATATCCCTGGTGGGCCATTTTGACGCATGAGCTCAGTTTCCAATCCCAACCTTCCCCGTTGTCTTCACCAAATATTCAGGTAAGCACCTTTGGCTCGTTGTGTTCGGGCTCTCTGCTAAATAGACCGCAGATACCTTGGCCGGACCATTCGAGGACATCCCTATCAATCCGGAGGCAAAGGACCTTGATTACGAAGGCGAACTCTCAATTGTCATCGGCAAGGATGCGAAGAACATCTCCGAGGATGAAGATCCCCTGAGTTATGTCCTGGGCTATACCGTGGGCAATGACGTTTCGTCCCGTTACTGGCAAGCCCCTGCAAGGTCAGGAGGTCAGCACGGCCCAGCCAAATCCTTTGACAAGTTCGGTCCCATCGGTCCTGTCATCGCTTCGCCCAAAGCAGTCGTGAACCCCGAGGGCCTCAGACTACGCACCTGGGTCAATGGGGAATTGAGACAGGATGGCAACACGGACGATTTGATTTTTGGGATCGGTGCCATCATTCGACATTTGGCCAGAGGCACGACGGTCAGAAAGGGGACGGTGATCATGACAGGCACTCCGAGGTAAGTGCTGGGAACAAAGACGCTTGATCTTTTCCATCACTAACAAATTGAAAGTGGTGTGGCCGCTTTCATGCAGCCGGCGGCATGGCTCCGACATGGCGACACTGTATCGATTGAGATTGAGCGCATTGGCAAGATCTCGAACAAGATGGTCTTTGAGAGCTGATCAAGAGGTTCCGGGGAAAAAGCTTGGGTCAAAGACGTCCCGGTACTCACAGGTCTGATATCTGATATCTATTCCACAGCCAAAACCAATATATACTTTTATATTTGTCGAGATGCTGCTCCCTTCCCTCGGTCTAGCGTGTACATACTAACCCCCAAATATTGGGAGATATATTTGCGTCTATCTCCATTTTCTGGCTGGCAGCCTTGCGTCTAACTCGCTGCGGCACTCATTCTTTCCCTCTGTGCTAGTGAAGCTCTTGGACATTATATGCTTATGGAGGTGCAAGTGCAGAGTGTGATGTATATCCATACCTCGGGATCAACCGAGGCCGGAAACACACGAATTGAGGGAGTAAGTGAAGCAATGCCAATGGTAAAGGCCACGCAACCACCAAGAAAACTTACTCGGGCTTGAGTGCCATCGTCCAACTTCTCCCGAGATACCGGATCAGGAAGTTCGGGGTTTGGGGAGAAGATGGCGGTCTTCATGGACCGCTCGTCATTACGAATCATGCTCAACTTGTTCTGGAAAGGCCATGTTACTTCCACCCACAGAAGAAGAAGTTCTCGTTTCGAGCTATGGATTGGTGGCACCACTTCTCACGGGCGTTCTTGAGCATGTTCCTGGAGAACCACAGACAGGGAAGAATCGATCTCAACAGCCACTGAGAGTTGCAGATGATCAGCACCAGCCGTTTCAGCCTTGGGGAGCAGCCCGGAAATCTCTCCTCGTCCATGATTGACCCCGCAGACCGAAACTTGTGCCGTCGCACTGGATTGGAGCAAGGTTTTGCCGATCTCCCAGTTTTCTGCAGATAATGGCGAGCGATTCTGTCGCGATTGCATCTATCAAAGGGGAAACCCCGTCCGGAAAATGATTCGTCAGCGACACTGAATATGGCGTGGGAGCTTGTGACCACCTGATCGGAAACCACTGCTTTCGGCATCTGAGAGGGCAGGGAGGGGTATGATGGAAACATGCGCATCCTATCTCATGCCGTCATGCTATCTGTCGCAAGCTTCCTCGGACCTATCATGCTCTCGACCTCAATCGCCTCCAATTGGACATAGCGATTGGGGGTAGTTTGCGCCGGTTTCCAACGACAGCGAATGGGATCAGGACTTTGCATCTCAGAAGGATTCCTCCCAGTATTCCCTACCCCTCTGCCGCTAAGGTCTTGAGGGTGATGTGACGGCGAAAAGAACCTTTGGGACGGACATTCACGGCAAGAATGATACCTCGATCTACGAGAGGTCGTGAGGGTGTTCACGATAACCATGGTCGCAGCGAAGGATGGCACACGCGGCCATGGCTTTTAGTTCCCCTACCGCCACGAGCCTATGCATCCGTGGTTTCCTCCCCTCTTGTCACTCCAGGAAATCTGCTCTCTACTAACTGACCAACGAGTTCAGTATCCCATGATGCTTCGCCATTTGCTTCTAGCTGTCATCTCGGTTGACGGTCTCGTCGCCGCGCAGGACGGAGACATCGTCGAGACGCTCAATGGCATCGCCGAGCTGTCAGACCTGGTGACGTATCTGTATAGTTTCCCCAACCTCACCCTGTGGCTGCAGGGACTGTCCGACATTACCTTCCTGGCTCCCAGCAACGATGCGTTTGCCGCGTTGGCCGACTCCTCGACCATTCCGAGCATCCCGCTCGACGAGACCGACGCACACGCGCTGATGAGCTACCATGTCCTGGACGGGACGTATTACGGATTCACCTCGGACGAATACAACCTGGTCACGACGGCGTTGTCCACGTCCGGATACACGAATGTGACTGGAGGCCAGATCGTCGCTGCGAAAGGCTCACCCTGGTCCGACGCCATCACCTTCACGTCGGGGAAGCGGCAGACGTCCGAGACGGACGGGGTGGCGTTCAACTTCACCGGCGGCGCCGTCTACGTGGTCGACGCGTTCCTAAGTCTCCCCCAGCCCTTCAAAGCGACTGTCGACGCGGAGAAGATGCTCGGGGGATCCGTGTTCGCCGAGGCGGCGGTGCTCACGGAGAGCGGCGAGCACATGAGCGTCAACGACCTGTCCGACGTCACGGTCTTCCTACCCATGAATTACTCCTTCCAGGAAATCGGCAGCGTGATCGAGAACATGTCCTGGACCGAGCTGGAACGCCTGGTCTCGTACCACGTCGTCGACCGCGTCCTCGACATCAACCCGCAGTCTCCGCCCGTCGGGCAGTACTCGACGTACGAGGGCTCCGAGGTGTCCATCTTCAGCCAGAACGGCTTTGTGTTTATCAACAACGCCAGGATCGTCGGGTCGGCCGACTGGATTTTTGGCGGTGGCATGATCTACACCATTTACGGGTACGTAGAAAGCATGGCGAAACACCACAGACACCCTTTTACTATCCCCTGTCCCCCATCTCCGCATGATCCTCCCTTTTTAATCCCACTTCCCCTTTATTCTTGGTCCCATGTGATACTAGAGATACTGACCAAACGATGCCATAATAAGAGTCCTCAACCCGGACAACACAACAGTCGACCAGAGCATTAACGACGCCGAAATCGCCTTTGCCGACGCCACCTTCATCCTGGACCCGACATTCCCTACCGCGCCGGGCGCCCCAACAAGCTCTACGGGATCCAGCTCTGGGGGCGGTCTCTCGCACGGAGCCAAAGCCGCAATCGGCGTGTCTATCGCCGTGGCCGCCATCCTCCTCGTCATCTTGGCCTTGTTCATCCGCGCGCGACGACGCCGCACGGCGCGAGACCTCGGCGTGGGACTCGGCACGAAGCCGTCGCGCAAGAGTTCCCAGTATCCGTATCCGACACGGTACCCATACGCTACGCAGTACCCGCTCAAGGACTTCGAGCTCAAGGAGGTGTCTGTCTCGCACAGCGAACTTGTCGCCAACGCGGCGGCACCAGCGCGGGTGCCGCTCAAGGATTTGGATCTGACGCCGAATGTCAGCGTGTATTCGTTGCGGTAGCACACACGATGCTGCCGATGTGGAAATGGATGGGGAGGCTAAAGGTAGGTCAAAGGTAAGAAGTGAAGGTTTAGCCGGTCAACCAGTCTCCCTGCCAGGTAGCTACGTTGAAGTGTAAGCTTAGAAAGGGCCGGGATATGGGGCTAGGGAATGGGAATGGGGGATGGAGAGGGAGAGAGGGAGAGAGAGGGCGTTTGGTGAGAACGGACTGTTCTTGCCCTCTTTCGAGGCTCTGAGTGAGGACGAGGATAAGGAAGAGGACGAGGAATGTCTTTACGATTGGAATGTCTCTGCATATCTACACATCTACATCTCTACCCCAGCATCTATGATCTATCTGCATATATATACCTACATAGCTAGCCAGCTGGCCAGCTGGCCCATCTCTCTGCATATACATATCATATCTACATATCAAGCTCCCTAGCAATCCAGCGACCTACCCAACCTAGCCAGGCATCTATCCAGCAACAATATGTCTCTGAACAAAGTTCTCGAATACCTCACGAGCCCGTTTCTAGTTATTTTCCTGTCTACTTACCCGCCGATGAATGATGTGTTTCATTCACTCATAGATGACCCATTAAGCTTGGACGTACGATATCTCTCCAGAACCCCTTGGTCCAACCCAGTCCACATGACGTGCCTCGCCTTTTAGCAAGTTGAGTTGCTGTTTAGCGGTAGCTTTCTGACTTGTGCTCCCAACATGAAATACACATGGTGCACAGGAAAGGAAAAAGGGAAGAGATGGAGATCGGCGGGGGAGGTGTGTGTGTAGAAGGAGGACCGGTAGTACTACGAGGTACACGGTACTCTTCCCAGCTTGTCGAAGCAGGATATATATCTGATGTTTAGATTGGATCCTGCATGTATCGTATCTACAGACAGCTGTCCCACCCTATCTCTCCAGCGGCTACAAGGAGCATAGAGGTCCCTAGAAGCATTGAAGTAATAGACGCGTAGGAGCCAACTAACTACCTCTCGGTATACCCGCCATCGACGAAGAGCGCCGTGCCCGTGACGAACGAGCTCCTCCCTCCGGAGAGGTAGACGACGCCGTCTGCGATCTCGCGCGGCAGGCCCGCGCGCTTCATGGGCACGGCGTGGGCGACCATGTCGGTCATGGTGTTGCGGATGAGCGGGTCCGAGGTGTTGTTGGTCATGGGCGTGTCGATGTACCCCGGGCAGATGGCGTTGATGCGAAGCCCTCGCGACGCATAATCCTCGGACGCGGAGCGCGTGAGGCCCAGCACGCCGTGCTTCGAGGCCGTGTACGCCGTCGACAGGGGCACGCCGACCGCGCCGAGGATCGAGCCCAGGTTGACGATCGAGCCGCGCTGGAGGGCCCGGCCGTCGATGCTCGAGGCCAAGGGCTCCTGCTTCAGCATGATCTGCGCCGCGGCCCGGAGCACGAAGAACGTCCCCGTCAGGTTGATGTCGAGCACGCGCTGCCAGTCCTCGGTCGTGGCGAAGGCGGCGCCGCCGGCGTGCTTCTTGGCCACCCCCGCCGCGTTGACGACGTAGTCGAGCCGGCCGAAGGTGCGCGCCACCGTGGCCACCGTCTGGTTGACTTGGTCCTCGTTGCGCACGTCCACGACGTACACCTCGACCCTGCACGGCGGCTTTGCCTTGGTTCCCCCTTCGCTGCTCTCTTGCTGTTGTTGTGCCTCAATCTCGGCCTTCACCGCGAGCAACCCGTCGTGGTTCATATCCAGCAGCGCCACGCCCGCGGCCCCGTCGCGCGCAAACGTCTTCGCGCACTCCCTGCCAATGCCCGATCCCCCGCCCGTGATCAACGCGTACCCGGGCACATCCATTGCTTTGCCTTGCGTTGCCTTTCCAAGAACACTTGACAGGACAGGACACGATCAGAGAATACCACACAAAAAGAGACCTTTTTCGAAATATGTACTACGGGCGTCAACGATGCGGAGACGCCAGAGGGTGCGGCAGGGTGTTACATGCGTGTGATATATGGCAGACAATCTCTCCGCAGATTCTATCCGACATACCTCGGGTCTCCGCTGGAATCGCAGAAGGGCGAGGGGGAAGTTGGACAATCACTCAGTGTACCTATAGATTCCACCTGACATGCAGTCGAGGAGGTGAATGGACTGGGTACTATTGGTCCAAGTCGAGATTGGTACTCTGCAATCTGCCTCAGGTGGCTGAGGTACATACATAAGAAGTAGTTCGGCCGAGACGAAGAGTCGACTATGTACGCATGTTGCCTCCATGGTCCACGGTCTACATTTCAAAACAACCAGTGGGGCCCAAGAGAGGGATTCCTCTCTCCAACACATAATGGAATACCCAGCCCTCGATCTTTTGTGTTCCCCATCGGAATATGCTTCCCAGATATGCTCGGGCTTCACGATAATATTGCTCGTGCTGTGCCGAAGCCAAAAGCTTGAAATACCTAGTCAAGAGTTTTGGTTGGCATTCTTTTTGGTATACATCAAAGCCTCAAGCCCTGGTCATATTTTACTCGCATCTCATCGGCGGGGTCCTGGAACCTCAATTTGTATATCTGGAGATATATGTCGTCGAAATTACCCCCGGAAATCTCTCGAGCGTCCATGTCGAGAATCAGGTGGGACCAGAATCAGAATGCGTAGGGGAGCGGGAACAGTAGCTGGGAGAGTTATGCTCGCATAAATTGGCTGAAGGCAGAGACTCGAAATAAAACAAGACAGCAAGAAATGCATAGCCACGGCCAAACCTCGAGAGGCACATCAGGACTAGAGACCTTGACGCCGCCTAGTCCTGAGGGCTTCTACCAAGACGGATTCTGTACCTCCATGATAGCAATATTTCTGACCTCGCGGCACAGTCATTATATTATCAGCTGTAACTCTAGGACTCGGTACCTCACCCCCTCCGCTCCTTGTCCACCCTCATTCTCTGCGCTCATCCTCACCACAATGCCAATGATGGTGGCCATCCACAATAGTCCAATCGCCGTGGAAAACCAGAAAAAAACACCCGTAATACAGCGCCATCGCTCAAGCCCAATACTTCGTGTCGGGTATCGCAGGTCCCTTTGAATCCAGATTATAACAAGTAACAGGGTATCAATTATCATCTCTTCCATGGCAACAAGTGTCCTCCCATACCCCCCAGTCTATCGTGTTGACTCATGTGCTGTGTTGCGGTACCAAGATCCCGCGTTTAGTGCCGTGGAGGAAAATATCGGGACTGATCATCCCTTCCGGAAAGCTGGACGTGACCTCTTGCTCTAATGTCGAGGCCTGGTGGAAGTCCAGCTTCGGGAGTAGCGGCCGTTTCGCTTCTTTCTGTTTCCCAGGAGCATTCAGGACTCGCTCCATTAATCGAGCTCCCGATCTGACTGAGTCGGTGCAGAAGTTATTCCTGAAGAGAAGGTCATGGTTGAGGTGCGGCTGTGGCCAACTCTGCGGCGTTCCTGCTGACTGTGACCGCGCGTAGCCAGCCTGTAGCATACAGGTCGCGCATCATGCAACCTTCTCGTGCTGGGTGGACACGCGGTTCAACGACACAACTGCGAAACAGACGTTAGTCAACTCACTCCATATTCCTCAAGGGCCAAACTCACGGAAATCCTCCATATCTCTCTTCTTGAGCACCTTATTGCTCCTCGTCTTCCGCCCATGTACAATGTCATCGAAGGTGACGCTGTCTTGCAAAAGGTAATAGACGCCAGCCATGACGCAAAAGACCCCGAAAGAATACAACCAGATCCTCACCACACCAACAATGCTGGTCTGTTGCCCACCGACAAACCAACCGAAAAGACAGAAGAATGTTGCGAGAATGTCCACAAGTAAGATGGCACCCACGAGCTGCCAGGAAGGGATGCTGGACCAGAAGGGGCCATTAGCGCGGGTGATGAAAATCAGCCAATTTTCAGAGAGGCAGATCTGAAGAAACAAGACAGCGTCCGTGTGCCCAAAATTCTGAACGATACCACCATCGTGCCCGCCCACAATCATCGTCGTCAGTGCGATCCAAGTCCCGGCGGCGAGCACAATTCCCAACAGAATGGACATGCCCCATAGTTTGGGCAGATTCCACTTGACCGGCGTTTTCGAATATGGCGCATTGTCGTAGGCAATTGCCAGTGTGGCGATGTCGGCAAAGATAGCAATAAAAACCACCAACTTAAGGTTGAGCGACTTGTTCAGAATGGCGATCCACAGGCCCAGGAAGATCTCCAGATGAAGGGACAGGGCTATGCGGTAAACGACGTATGCGTACATGCGGTGGAATATTTGGCGCGACGTCTTCAGGGCGTCGATGATGGCCGAGAGACCAGGCGCGAGGAAAACAATGTCTGCTGCTGATCGAGCTGCATCAGTTGCGCCTTGGACCGCGATACCGGTATCCGCCTTCTTCAACGAGGGCGCGTCATTGACCCCATCGCCGGTCATTGCCACCAGATAACCTCTTTGCTGTAGGATTTCGACAACGTTGTACTTGTGTTGGGGGAACACTTCGGCAAACCCATCTGCAGCCTCAACAAAGTCGTAGACTTCGGAGCCCGGCATCGTCCCGCCACCAGCGAGTCCAAGGCGCTCTGCGTTGAAGACATTGGTTCCAAGTCCCAACTGTCGAGACATTTCTCGGGCGATGCCGACGGCGTCACCAGTCAACATCTTGATGGACAAACCCAACGATTTGGCTTCGTTGATTGTTTTTGCGGTGTCATGTCGAGGCGGATCTGCACAAGGCATGATTCCCAAAATTTCCCACGAGTTGTCACCTCGCTTTCTGGCCACACCCAGAGAGCGAAAGCCTCTAGCTGCGAACTCTGCAACCTTGTTTTTGTATGCGATATCAATTTCCTCAGGAATGGGATGGTCATCTTCCACTGTGCGGAGCACAAATAGCGGCGAGCCCTTGACGCAAATTATGCGCTCACCCTGAGGTGATTCGACAACGGTGCTGACCTTTTTCGAAACCGGGTCAAATGGATGGAATTGGATGACTTTGTACTTGGATAAGGCCTGCTTAGCTCGAGGGTAGTACCGCAAGGCTTTGAGAAATGCCTTATCGATAGCATCCATGCCCTTTTTCTTCCGGGACGCCGCCAAACACGCGGTGAGCATCATATCCTCGGGATCAACACCATGCACCGTGTATGGCTCGTGAAGGGAGAGTTTGTTCTTGGTCAAAGTCCCCGTCTTGTCCGAGCAGAGTATCTCCACGCCAGCAAGCGATTCAATGGCGGATAACTTCTGGACGATGGCCTTCTTCTTGGCCAGGTAGGCAGCGCCGACGGCCATGGTGGTGGTGACCACGGCAGGGAGACCGACAGGAACTCCAATGATGGTGATCGCCAAGGTAAATCTGAGGATGGTGACAATGTCGTTAGATCGATAGAATGACGATATCCAAACCACGAGTAAGGTGAAAACCACGAGCGCAAGCAACACTGTACCAATACCATTGAGGACTTCGGTGAAATGGCCTGAGCCACCTGATGCGGCATTGACCAAAGCAGCCGCTCGGCCGACAAAGGAGTTGTCTCCCGTTGCCGTCACAATCATAAAGGCGGTGCCTCGTTTCACGGCAGACGAGGCATAGCAGGTATCGCCCAGATGTTTGTCCGCGGCGAGGGACTCGCCCGTGATGGAGGATTGGTCGACTTGAAGAAACGCATCTTCAGTAACGAGCCGGCCGTCAGCGGGTATGATTGTGCCTTCTTCAAGTTGTAGAATATCTCCAGGAACCACCATAGGGGCCTCGATTTCGATCAGGTGGCCTTCTCTCAGGACAACGGCCTTCAAAGCCAAGGTCTTCTTCAACTCTTCGACGATAGAGCCAGCTTGAAACTCTTGGATAAACCCGACGCTGGCATTCAGCAGGAGCAGCGCACAAATGACGCCAAAGTCCACCCAGTCTTCAAGACCAGCGGCGAGGATCGCAGCAGCCTGTGGGACAAGACATCAGTATAAGCATCGCCGAGATGGGTATCGGCGTAATGTTGCAGTGGGTAGCCATACCTCCATGACAAATTGAATGGGACCAACAAAGTATCCCAGGAACTTCAGCAGCAAATTCTCTTTCTCTTCTTTCATTTGGTTTAGCCCGAATTTCTTTCGCCTGGCCACTACTTCGGGCTCGATCAATCCCACCCGCGTGTCGGTCTGGAGCATTTCCTCGGGCACATTTCGCGCACCCGCTGTTGTCTCGATGTCGGCTTCAATATCAGCATCTGGGTCGAGTGATTCCAACTCTTCAATAAGCGCATCCAGATCTTCCTCCTCATCGTCATCGTCCTTTTCCAATCTCGAAGCCTTTCGTGGGGTGAACATGACGTCGGGTTTCTCGTCTGGGACAACATCGCTCACGGTGACATGGAGAGGGTGAGGTTTATCGGGCGAGGAATGGGTCGAGCCCGAGGAACTAACGTCTGAAGAAGTGTCTACCATGTTGAGTAAATAGGAAGAGGTTAACGGTGTGGGCTATATCGACTCCATTGGGGGTGAGATGAATACGGCGTGAGGAGGTGGGCGCCGGAAGAAAGAGTCGTGGAAAGGCAGTCAAGCGAGGGTTCTTGATGTGAGGAAAGCGTAGCACCGTGGTCGCTGCCCTCAATTTCAGGTCGCACGAGCTTCAAAGGAAGGACACAATGATGACTCTGTACAGGTTGTAAGAATATTGGGGAAAGTGCCATGAGCCCAAAGTCAAAGAAACAAAGTGGTAAGAGAAGAATGAGTGAATCTCAGAGGCGAGAGGATCAGGACTCCGACGTTCACCCCCGCAATCTTGGGCCAATCCCTTCCACAACGGGTGGTGACGCCTATCCCTCTATTCCTCTTCTACGCTGATTGAGCGGAACCAAGCCCTATTTGAGCCCCAGAACCAATCGCTCACGCCATCCCAAGTCAGACTTGCCATTATCTAGACTTGGCAATGTTCCTTCCAAGACACAGAAACGTCGGGTGACTGAGGCGGTGTCGGGCGCGGAAGCCTTGTCTGTGGGGGGCTTGGTTGTCTGATGATAAGGACAAGAAAAAGGGGACCCATAGCCTAACAAGACAAGAAAAATCATAGAGAGGGGCGATTGGGGCGACGTCAAATGGATCTCTCTACTTTGCACAGAATATCATCTCAAAAGCCCATCCACGTGTCGCAGCACGTGGGAACGAGAACACGTTGAGACTGGTAACCAAGTGGTAACCAATCCCACCAGGGTCAATAGGTGTCGGTGAGCAACACCAAGCCTGTCACCTTGTAAAACGCATCCTTTGATTATCCATACATACGTCGTCGTTCCCGAATCTGCCCTTATCAAATCCCAATCCTGTATTCCCAATCGTACTGTCAAGGCATCAATGCTAGCAGACGAGAACGGGCCCTACGAGAGCCTGCACTTCCAATGCAGGGCAAAAGTTGAATAAAGAAAATTGCTTCCATCACAACCGCCTCCAATTTTGGGGTGTTCTGTGCTGGTGACCAACTCCTGAATATGCTTGATTCATACATATCGATTGGGTATCATGCCTGGCCATCAACACTTGGTACCGGTAACGACAATAACGCCATTTCTGCCTGTGTGCAGCTTCGATCTGCCGGTCAAATCGAGTGGCCGTGTGACTTTTAGTCCTGCTTGCCTTGCGGTTGGAATGCGGACATCTGGAATCCAGGTGGGAAGCCGGGCATTCCGTTGGATATGTTGCCAAAATTCATAGGGAAAGGCATTGACGGCATAACACCAATGTTATTGGGGTTGCCTGAGCCTTGGCGATCATCTCGATCCATGCGGCGATCATTGTCTCTGTATCTGTTGTCTTCACGTCCCGGATGCTGGCGAGAAGATTGAGGGCCGCGTCGTCCGCCCTGATCAGTAGCAATACGTCGACTCATGGCTACGTTACAGTTAGAACATGTCTACCAGGGTGAGCAGGGAGCAGTCATACCTTTGGAGGAAACCCCTGCACCAATTTCAATGTCAGGCTCTTCCACAACCATGCCTTCTTGGATCGGCGCACCGCCAGTTCCCCCGTATTCGGCGGTGAGCAGCCACTTGCGGTCTGCATCCGTGAGGCGTTCAATCGGAATGATACTAATTCCGGTTTGATAGTCACTGCAGTCACGTGGTCCAAATCCCACTCCCCATTTGGTCTGCAGGGCAAATGTCAGTTCGGTTCTATCTTCCTTTTCAATTCGCTGCCAATACGCAGGTCACTTACGCGGAGTTGCATGTCGCCCACCTTGTACTCTTCCATTCCATCACGGGCACTTTCGGCATCGCGGCGATTAATCATTTTGATGAAAGCGTGGCGTTTATCGATATTGACAATGCAGGTCTGAACCACCCCGAATTTACTGAACAGGCCCCTCAAGTGTGCTTCGGACGAGGTGACTCCGCCCACGAAGAGTGTCCGACTGAAAACTTTGATGTGGCCTTTGGGCAGAGTCGGATCCCATTGCACGTTCTTGGGGCCTGGCGGTGGAAGCTTGTAGTCACTGGGCGGTGTGGTGCTTCGGCGTCTTCTACCCATTGGGCTGCGCTGACGGTAATCAGCTCGCCTGCCATCGCGATCATTACGATATCCATCAGCCCCCGGACTATCTCGGCGACGTCTTGGAGACAGATCTCGGCGTCTATCATAGCCAGGAGAGCGTGAGCGACGTCGATATTGACCAGGAGGGGAACGGGCTTGAGCATCACGTGACGATCCGGTTGCTTGAACCTGGCCTGCCCAATTGCTTGCTGGTACAGGAGGCGGAAACGGAAGGCCACTGGCACTCGCAGGGCCACCGCCACTGCCAGCACCACCGCCTCCTGCGGCCTGCATGTTCAACAATTGTAGAGCGGTCGCCCATTGGTCTGGAGGAACGCCTTGACTAGCCAACAGCTGCAAGAGTTGCAGTTGAACTTGTGCTTGAGCCTGAGTATCTTGACCTAGAGGAACAGGGTTTTGTGGCACCGTGGGAGCAGGAGCTTGTTGCGGAAGAAACGCAGCAAGTGGATTTGCAGGTACATTTGCAGGACTTTGACTTTGCGCACCATTACTCAATCCAGCGAACAGAGCTCCAAGCTGGTTTACAGCCGACCCATTGGCGGCGACGGGAGCAAGGCCGGGGTTTACGGTACTGTTCGTCAGAGGGATCCCATTCTGCGCGCCTAACAGATTATTCAAACTAGTTTGGGCGGGTGCTGGAATGGCTGGTGGCGCGGAAGTGTTCTGCTTTGCCATATTCTTGAGCGCTTCCAGGATAGCTGACGTGTCCTGCTGCTGAGGAGGTTTTGCTGCCATATTGTCAGTGGTAATGGACTGACCAAGTGGCACGAAACCGGGTGCCGGTGATCCTTCAGGTGTGGTTGAGACTGCGTTACAGTTAGGATTGATCCGTTTCGGGTGACGGAGGGACAGAATTTTGAATATACCTTTAGGCGCGTCAAGCTTTTCTTTGAGTGAAGCAAGCAACGGAGTTGGAAACGTGTTCGACCGCTCCCAAATTTCTAAGAGCTTTCTGATTTTGACCTAAACAGAGGTGGCCACACGTGAGTCTCGATCAAAGCAAGCAGGCAAACAACAAATAAGACTTAGGTGGTGGTGTACGGGTAGTCTGGTCGCGTGGAGTGCGTGTCGAACTTCAAAATAGTTTAAGAGGAATACGACGGACATAGAATGGCATACCTTCTGGTCTTCTGGAGCGGTAGCAATAATGTCGTTCATGAGTACGGGGAGCAATTCAGTCACTCGAGTCACACCAGCGGCAAAGGTTCCATCAGGAGCTCCGCTACCCAGCTGTTGACCTGATTTTCTGGCTTGATCTACCCATTGTCTCGTCACTGAATCTATCACGTAGAGAACCCCCAATTTGTGTGTTCCTGGTGTCTTCTTGAAATGGGTATAGATCTTTTGAATAAGGACTGATTCGGACTAGAAGTCACGTCAGTTACAGGAGGCGCGGACGCACAAAGCTGAAAAATCGACATACTTGGATGTTTGCTGTACAGAGCGTGGTGATGGCAGTGATCTTTGAGCCTGAAACTCCTGGTGGTTTGAGGTTGAGCATGGACTGCAGGATCGAGTCCAGCTCCGCTACTGCGGACGACATGATGGAGCGCCGAGCTCTCCTACAGCTGGTGATGACACAAGGTGTTGAAGGAGGAAACTGACCCTGGCAAGGTGGAAGATGGCGAAAGGGGCGAAGTTGAGTCGATCAACGCATACGGAGTCTTCGATCGACAAAGACGTCTTACAGACTCGAGGTACAGGTGAAGTGAAGGATGATGTGCGGTGCAAGAGTGTAGTCTTTTCCCCCCCAAATTCTTCCCTTTCCCTGCTAAGTGTAGACTGCGCCCACAAGACTTCTACAGCGAGGTGGCAACTGCGGCCTGGCAGCGGCAGTATTGAGGAACTAGCGGCCGTGTGCAGAGAAGAATACTGGTAGAGAAGCACTTTACGAGCTGATAAGACTATGTGCGTGATGAAGACGAAGAAAAGGAAGTCAAACGCGATGGATGTTGCGTCGGTTGGTGATGCCTGAGTGATGAGATGGTGATGAGATGAAGTGAAGATTTGAGCACGAGTTGAAAAGGCGTCGCAGACAGAAAAGTGGAGGCTTGAGAAACAGCCAAACCAGCCAAACTAGCCGGCCGGAATAATATTGTTGCCAGTTTTTCACGTGACCAACAATTGAGGGCGCACGGGGCCTTGGGGCGTCTAATCTTCTTCGGACTGCGAAGTTGGCGTCCCTAGTAGGGCTTGCTGAGGCCCGCCCGTGCCGCTGTTGGCTGGCTATTGAACCCCAATTGGCAAACCTGACCTTATTGAAGGAGAGGTCATCCGGCACGCCGAAGCCTTGCTCGTTAAGCGGCCCCCAAGTGGGCCATTTTCATCATTCAATAATTCAACAGGGACAGCTTTCTCCTCCTAACTTTCCTATCTGCACCTGCACCTTTTTTTTTTCCCGCACTCCTTCATAAAGCTCCCTTGACGTAACATTCTTCTTGACCTTCTTTTGCTTCGACTCTCTCGTGTTGTTACTATCATGGCCTCCTCTCTTCGCCTCGGGAGCTCTTTGCTCCGTTCATCAACCAGACCTTTGGTCCAGAAAGCTGCCTTCAATGGCGTGCGCTGCGCAAGCACCCAAGTGAGCTATTCGAACTGACTTTGTTGAGAGCTCCCTGGCTAACACCTCCTTCCTTCTTTAGTCCCTAAAAGAGGTCTTTGCTGCCAAACTCCCTGGCGAGATTGAGAAAGTCAAGAAGCTGAGAAAGGACTATGGCTCAAAAGTCATTGGCGAAGTTACACTGGACCAAGTCTACGGTGGTGCTCGAGGCATCAAGTCTCTAGTCTGGGAGGGTTCCGTGCTTGACTCAGAAGAAGGTATCAGATTCCGTGGAAGGACTATCCCTGAATGCCAGGAAGTGCTCCCCAAGGCTCCTGGAGGCGAGGAGCCTCTGCCGGAAGGGCTGTTCTGGCTTCTTCTGACCGGTGAGGTTCCCAGCGAGCAGCAGGTCCGAGACCTGTCTGCCGACTGGGCAGCTCGATCCGATCTTCCCAAGTTCGTCGAGGAACTCATCGATCGTTGTCCCAGCGACATGCACCCGATGGCTCAGTTTTCGATTGCCGTTGTTGCGCTCGAGCACACCTCGGAGTTCGCCAAAGCCTACGCCAAGGGCATCAACAAGAAGGACTACTGGTCATACACTTTCGAGGACTCGATGAATCTCATTGCCAAGCTGCCCACGATTGCTGCGAAGATCTACCGTAACGCATACAAGGATGGCAAGGTGGCCCCAATCCAGAAAGACAAGGACTATGGCTTCAACTTGGCCAACCAGCTTGGCTACGGCGACAACGCTGACTTTGTTGAGCTTATGCGTCTCTATCTCACCATCCACTCTGACCATGAGGGTGGCAATGTCAGCGCACACACCACTCATTTGGTCGGAAGCGCTTTGAGCTCTCCTATGCTCTCCCTTGCTGCTGGTCTCAACGGTTTGGCCGGTCCTCTCCACGGTCTGGCCAACCAAGAAGTCTTGAACTGGCTCACCAAGATGAAGGAGAGCATTGGCGATGATCTCAGCGACCAAAAGATCACCGACTACCTGTGGGAGACCCTGAACGGTGGCCGTGTCGTTCCTGGCTATGGCCATGCCGTTCTCCGCAAGACGGATCCCCGCTACGTGTCTCAACGCGAGTTCGCTCTTCGCAAGCTCCCCAATGACCCCATGTTCAAGCTGGTCAGCCAGGTCTACAAGATCGCCCCTGGTGTTTTGACAAAGCACGGAAAGACCAAGAACCCATACCCCAACGTTGATGCTGTAAGTTGGTCATTGGAACCAATTTCGACTGCGCTAACATGTGAACTAGCACTCCGGCGTCCTCTTGCAATACTACGGATTGACCGAAGCCAACTATTACACTGTCCTCTTCGGTGTCTCGCGCGCCTTGGGTGTCCTGCCGCAACTTATCATCGACCGTGCTCTCGGTGCACCCATCGAGCGGCCCAAGTCCTTCAGCACCGAAGCCTATGCCAAACTCGTGGGTGCTTCATTGTGATCTGGACATGAAGAGTGGGGGTTGTACAATGCAAAACATACTTGTACGTCTAAACGGGACAAGGGGATAGGACAATGCGAGGTCGGGATCTGGTCTAGGGTGAATCTGTTTCGCCGTTCAATTACGCCATTATTTAATTGACGAGCGTTGTTGGATGCGAATACCATATTTTACTTTGTGCCCATTGCCTGCCAATCCGCCACAAGTATTCTGCGTACCCAGATGCTGTACACCCCTTCGTAGAGCCCAGTGTTAAGCAGCCATGGGGGCCGCGGTGTCTTTGCGAGACATCGTTGCGTGGACCGTGCGACGTAAAATTTCCTGAACTTTTATTTTCGGATGGTTGAGAAGCGCGTTGGCGGCGTTGGGTGGCCCTAGGAGACTAAAGGAGGCCGGCAGACCCACATTTTAGGGAGGCGGCGTCCGAAGTCTAGGGGCGATGCCTGGAAGGATGGAGCTTGGGGGTGAAATGGAGGCTCCGGCCACCTCAGCTAAGAGACATGTGTCCGCTCAACACGCCGAACGCCTGAGCCACTAATCTGCTTTTGGCCCGAATGGGGGTTTGGTCGAGGCGCCTGCGCCGATATTCTACGGGATGGTCAACTCGTCCTTCTTCGCCGAGGGAGCTGAACAAAACCATCTCGGACTTGTGGTGACTGCCATCACTGTCAGACCAATTCCTACTCGTACTCTTGTGTCTTTCTTAATCTCCGCTGCTTTTTTTGTTGTCTCTTATACTCCGGTTAACGAGCATACGTACCGCAATAACCATTTCGTGTCTGTATCTTTTGCATCATTCACACCGAGGCAATCCCCCTGTCGCCCAGCAGTACCTCCCTCCTTCCCATTAACCCTCAAGGCGACGAAGCCGACCTCATCCCTTGGTCAGGGTAGACAATCTCGCACATCCGCCAACAATGTCCGCAGAAGCAGTTCTGGCACCTGCGCCTGCAGCGCCCAAGATTGAAAAGAAGCCGGTCAAGTTCAGCAACCTTCTACTTGGCGCTGGTCTCAACATGTTCGAGGTCACTACACTGGGACAGCCTCTGGAGGTTGTCAAGACCACCATGGCCGCCCACCGAACTGACACGTTCGCTGGAGCTATGTCGCGGATATGGGGACGTGGTGGTGTTTTTGGATGTAAGGCACAAAGCACCCAATTCTACCCTGGAGAAGACCTCGGCTGATTTGATCTCTCGAAATGCATAGTCTACCAAGGTCTCATCCCGTGGGCCTGGATCGAAGCCTCTACCAAGGGTGCTGTCTTGCTTTTCGTCGCCTCCGAGGCTGAATACTACGCAAGAACCTTTGGGGCCAACAACTTCCTCGCTGGGATCACGGGTGGTATGGTCGGTGGCATGGCCCAAGCCTATGCAACCATGGGTTTCTGCACATGTATGAAAACGGTGGAAATCACCCAGCACAAACTGGCCGCACAGGGTGTGAAGCCCCCCTCTACGTTCACGACTTTCGCAAATATCTACAAGAAAGAGGGCATCCGAGGGATCAACAAGGGTGTCAACGCAGTCGCCATTCGTCAAGTTACCAACTGGGGCTCCCGTTTCGGTCTTTCCAGACTCGCCGAGTCAGGTATCCGGAGATTCACGGGCAAGGAGAACGGAGAGAAACTGAATGCGGGAGAGAAGATTTTGGCCAGTGGTCTCGGTGGTGGTCTGTCTGCATGGAACCAGCCCATTGAAGTCATCCGAGTCGAGATGCAAAGCAAGTCCAATGATCCTAATCGACCAAAGAACTTGACCGTCGGGAAGACGTTGAACTACATCTACAGCACCAACGGTCTGAAAGGTCTCTACCGTGGTGTCACTCCCCGTATCGGACTGGGTATCTGGCAGACAATCTGCATGGTTGCCTTGGGTGATATGTATGCTGGTCCCCTACTGCTATCATTCTGGACTGATACGCTAACCTCTGAACAGTGCCAAAGAAGCCGTCGAGAAACTCACCGGCGAGGCGGTCACCGCGAAGCACTAGGCGACACGCCACTATTCTGGATTAGGGATCCAGTTACAGCAGCTTGAATGGATCCCTCAAGTTGAGCGGGGATGAGGACGGGCACGTAATGTCTTTGGGAGGCATCAAAACCCTTCTCTGGGACCTTCTGCACGCATTCGTTTACCCTATGCAGATGAAAGGTGACTGATTCTAGTTTGGCGTGTGCTGGCGTTTCTCTTCTACCCTGAACGACATAAAAATCTTAGCCGGTTTTGGGTTACCTCTTGCTCTTGTTGTTTTGTTTGCTTTTGATTGCCTGGACATGTCACAGCATCAGCTAGTCTGTGAGATGTCAATCAAGGGGATGGAACATAGACGGTGGTTTTATCATGTGGTTCTCGGGCAACAACGGGAGATGGGGACCTATGGACTATGGATGCGCTCGAGGTTCGCTTATTCTATAACGAGTATCCTCGTACTCGACGTTCCACAGAATGAACAGACCATCTTGCACAGGGGACACGACGAATACAAAAACGTCTTCTTTCTTTTTCTTGCAGACTGCAGAGTGCAGAGTGCAGAGTGAGCGCAGAAGTAAGTGTAGACCGATATCGCTAAACAACAAAAGTGACAACGACGAAACCTCGGGTCGGGAATACTTGTAAAAATAATAAAGGATTTTCTTCGAATCAACTCCACTCCCTTTTTCCGCCCAGACCTTTCTTTTGTCCGTCGTTAACCGTCAACCTCAAGGCCGCCGACCGGTGCTTTTTGCTTTTGCTTTTTGTGTTGGGTTTGTTTTTTTTCTTTTTGCGTCCCGATCTTCGGCGAGGGGTTTGGACTTGGTTCTTGCGTATTAGGACTTAGGACTTGGGACTTAGGACTTAGTATAGATATGGCTAGGTGGTACTTGGTACTTGGGTACCGGCATGTGGGATTGTGGTTGGGTTGAGTACATTGTACCTTGTACCTAGTACCTAGGTACGAGGTATGTTGAGTTTTGTGATGTGCATGTGCATGTGGATTTCCTCTTCCTCTTTTCTTTTCTGGGGCGGGCTTGGCTTGGGGGCTTTGTGTTGGGTTCTGTGGGTGCCTACATAGGTACATAGATAGAAGAATGGAGTTGAGGAAAAATGGAAGTTCATACAGTAGGTATTTAACCTCGTAAAGTCGTAAATGTCGTAAATGTGATGGGTAATAAGGAAGTACGGAATAATAATAGGGGAGACACTTGAGGTGAGCTCTCTCCGTGGGAGTGGGGGGAGAGAAAGAAAGAGAGAGAGGGAGAGGTCAAAACTCGTGGCTCTGTTCGTCGTATACACAATAATACTGTGTGCTCAAACAGAGCTTCATCCATAACACAACGACATACCACACAAAAGGGGTTCGCCATGCCGTTTTGCTATCAAAAGCATTGTTGTCGACAACCTTGTAGCGCTGACCTCTGGGTGCTTCTCAATGGGAGCTTGGCTGTTAACATGCCTTCGCCAAAGGTAAGTCAGTCCATCGCAAACGCCGCCCGACTTCTGGAGCCGCGCAGTCTCATCCAACAAGCATCCTGCCCATCAAATCAGCCCGCAGACCAAGTTGGCTGGTAAGGGGCATACTCGACTCCCCAACTAGCCTTGTCTTGACCTAGGTCGTTATTGGCTAACCTGACTTTCTCGGATAGCTCCACCTGCATTGAGGGCAGTATCCTCGAGCCCAATAATGACGTGGGTGTGGTGAAGACTCTGTCGAAGAGTATGTCAACGACGACTTCAGCTGAAATCCTCCCTTGATTGGCATGAATATCGTCTGGATGACCGAGTGCACTGGCGTCTTTGCAGAGTGCATTCTTTAGAAGGGATCGCGATCGTACCAGTGAAGGCAGATCGATCATCGAACACTCAAAGGACGTGAGGGTGAAAGCCATGTTCGAACTCAGATCCCTGGGAATGCGTTTCGGATTCGGAAGGAACTCATGATCGAATAGTTCGATACGGGGACTCGTTTGTCGTCGACCCGACGAACATCGCAGCCGTTCATCATTATGGTTCCGTGACAGCCGTTTCGAGTAGATGATGTCGAGGGCTGTTAGCCGCCAAAAGATTCAGCATTTGGCTAGATGTTGTGTCCGACTATCCTATGGCAACACCACGTATTTCTGCAAATGTTGGGGTATCACTTCTCTCAGATTCTTGCTTTTGAGCCACTTGTCGCTAAAGAGTCGATCCGCATATCTATACGCTCCGTCGCACAGGACAGTAACAACCGTATGATTGGGTCCCAACTTCTCCGCGACCTCTTTCGCGGCGACGACGTTCAGCGCGCTGCTAGCTCCAAGGTATAAACCCTCTTCATCCAGGCAGCGGTATACCATGGCAATAGTCTTCTCGTCGGAGATATTTAGTGCGCCGTCAAGCTCATTGACTTCTTGTTTCAGGTTGTCTGTCACACGACCTTGGCCGATGCCCTCGGTGATGCTGCTGCCCGTTCGTTCTTTGAGCTGGCCACCAGAGGTGATGTACGAATAGAGGACGGAGCCGGGAGGATCTGCCAGAAAGCATTTGACGGAATTATTGCTGACGTCCTTGAGATATCGAGTCACACCAGCAAGGGTCCCACCAGTTCCGGTCGCACAGGTGAAGGCGTCAATCTTGCCGTCGGTCTGGGCCCAAATTTCTGGCCCTGTCGTGACAATGTGTGCCAGACGATTGGCAGTATTGTCGAATTGATTGGTCCATACAGCACCGTGTTCGGGATCTTCCTTGAGCAGTCTCTCTGCATGTCTTTTTGCTTGCCAATTATAGTTTTCGGGGTTCTCCCATGCGACAGCTGGAACAGGATATACTTCGGCGCCCAGCAGTCTCAGAAGATCGATCTTGCCTTGTGACTGGGTGTTTGGCATGTAGATGACCAGTTTGTACCCTCTTGCTCGGCAGACGTGTGCCAGACCAATGCCAGTGTTGCCAGCAGTCCCTTCGACTACGGTGCCCCCAGGCTTCAGCAGACCTCGCTCTTCTGCGTCCTTAACAACATATAAAGCCGCACGGTCCTTGACACTGCCGCCGGGGTTTTGGAACTCGGCTTTACCCAGGATGTTGCAACCCGTCTCGGCGGAGAGCTTTTGTAGTCTTATCAAAGGAGTGTTCCCGATGGCTAGATTCTGGTGAGTCTTGGACTTCATGGCTTGAAAGGGTCTGTGAGGAATACCTCCTGTGAGAGTGTCGACCACCCCTTGAGCTTTGGAAAGGCGGATTCCATAAGCATTGACCGACTCGGCAGTCGCTGCACGAGCGGCTGTGGTAGCGAAGCGTCGCACTGACGTCCTCAGAGCGTTGGACATGGCGACAACAGTGCACTGCTGAAGAGTGCGAGAATGCAGGAGAGGAAGACGGGTCTATTAGGAGGAGCGAGTGTGTCTAGATTGAATTGTGAAAATTCCCCAACCAAAGAGCAGTGAGACGATCGCAAGTGTGAGAAGCTCCAAAGAAGAAAAATCTCCAATTGCATCATCCAAGCATCCGAGGCTGCTGACATAAGGCGGCTGGGCGGGCGGACATGGCACATCAACACCTTTTCTCAGACAGAGTAACACAAGGCTGTATACAAGAGACCGCGGTGAATTCTTTAATATGGCATATTTGTCTGCTTCAATTGATGGACTTGAACCTCGTGAGATTCGATATCACGTCCCTTACCCAATTTCCAACATCAAATGATGCGAGACAGAAAGATCCAGAGGGATATATCCCGAGCCATGAGCATAGTCTCTCGTTCTACCCTTCCCTCCCCTTCTACTAACGTGAAGCTCTTCTACATGATGCAGGATACAGAAGTCTATCGCACACAAACCCCAACATCTCCGCCGGGAGATCTTTGTTCGACCGGAAAACACCACCACATATCGGACTTATCCGCTAGATATCGATCGAGTCCATGTCCCTATTGCGATCTATGACCATACCAATGTTCAGAAGCCCAAACTCAGCGGCAGCCTGTGAAGATATAGTCATTGTACTCTCAAGTACTGTTGGCATCGACTAGTGAAGGATTACCAGGAGACCTTTGTGCTTTTTTGTCCTCGCCCGAGACGCCAGAAACCCCGCCTCGTGGACGATCAGATTGAGAGCAGATTTTGGCCTGGTCTGAAGCAAAGAAAGCCAGGGCCAGACCTTACATACATAACCAGCCTCGCTGAGCTTGAAGACCATGGATCTTGACCTCATCATCCAAAATGCCACCATCGTAAGTCCAGTCCTTGTGACCTAGGTCCATCCCCATCCCAAGCTCCATGCAAGGCTGAAGACCCTTTTTTTCAATACAAAAGGTCACAGCCACCGAGATCCTCCCACCGGGTCTTAGCATCGGAATCAAATCTGGCCAGATCGTCGCCATTGCATTTTCTCTTCCAGCGGATGCAAACACTCAGATCATCGACGCAGAGGGCGCGTACGTGACCCCTGGAGGCGTTGACTCCCACGTGCATCTACACCAAGATAATGCCCCTACTGGCGACAAATGGCTCTCAGGATCTCGCTCAGCGCTATGTGGTGGAAATACGACGATTCTCGCGTTTGCAACTCAACAGAGGACGGACGAGAGTTTGTTTCCCGTGCTGGAAGAGTACCATTCCCGCGCAAGAGGCCAGAGTTATGTGGATTACGGGTTCCATTTGATCCTCACTAGGCCAAGTCCCGAAATCTTAGGCCGGGCGGTCAAAGCAAAAGTCGACGGTGAGGCCGATCCCGGGAATGAGGGAGAGTTGAAAAGACTGGTCGACGAGGAAGGCATCACGAGCGTCAAGTTGTACATGACCTATCCGGCGTTCAAATTGGGGGATAAAGACATGCTCGAGCTGATGATGCGGTGCAGAGAAGTGGGCATGACGGTTATGGTGCATGCTGAGAACGCCGATATGATTGATATGTATGTTCTGTTCTCTTTTGATGGCTTGCTGCCCCCAGGCCAAAGACCAACAACAGATGTATCACTGACAACTGCGACAGGATAACGACCCGTCTACTCCAAAACTCCCATACTCTGCCCAAATACCACGCCCTTGCGCGCCCTCAGATTGCGGAGTCGGAAGCCACTTATCGCGCCATTTCGCTTTCCACCCTCACATCCACGCCAATCCTCATCGTCCACATGTCTAGCCCGGCCGCCCTGTCCCATGCGCGGAAAGCGCAATCAAAGTCAATGCTGCCGATCCACACCGAGACGTGTCCACATTATATGTATCTGCTGTCGGACAGGCTAGCGACAACCAAATTCCCCGTCATCGACGAAGCCAACGGCGTTCACAGTCATGACCATGGGGATGCCGAGGACGACGAATGGGCAGGCGCACGACACGTCTGCGCCCCTCCCCTGCGCCACGCCGACTCCGACCTGCAGAGCGTCTGGGACAGCGTGAACAACGGGACCATCACGGTGATATCCTCCGACCATGCTCCCAGCCAATACCACCATCCCGCGGGAAAGCGAAAGCCACTGGTCGAAGCGCAAAAGACGAACTCGACGCCCGCGTTCGCCCAGATCCCCAACGGCCTTCCCGGCATCGAGACCCGTCTCCCCATCCTCTTCTCCGCCGCGACAGACCCGGACCCGTCCATCCCACCGACCAGGAGACTGACACTGCCCAAGTTTGTGGAACTCACTTCGACCAACCCGGCCAAGATGTACGGCCTCTCCGGCCGAAAGGGTAGTATCGCCCCAGGCTACGACGCCGACTTGGTCATCTGGTATCCCCCGCACCACTCTGCCACCACCACCACAACTGCATCCGATGGAAAGATCAGAATCACAAACGAAATCCTGCACCACAGCATCGACTACACGCCCTTTGAAGGGTTTCGCGTGTCCAATTGGCCCAGGTACGTCCTCTTGAGGGGCCAGGTCAAGTGGAACCGCGACGTTGAGGTCGCTCAGGGGCCCGGCGCGGGCGTCTTGGGAACCCCGAGCGACGGGATGTTCTTGAAGAGGGGGAAAGGTGAGGTGCTCGTCGGAAGGAGTGGGATGGGCAGAGAGCCCGAAGGCATGAAAGTCGGGGAGAGGAGTGCGTGGTTGTAGAGTCTCCCCCTGGTCGACAGAGGTTCGGTCTATATCACCTATCTCCTATTGAGTTCCACACCCATTTTGCGCAGTCATGCATTGTAGCATTACACCGAGGAGTCAGGAAGGTCAGCTAGATTGGTAGGTTGGTGTGCCGTAAGCAACGCAGAAACTCCGAGGAGCGTAGCTACACGAGGGAGAGAGGGAGGGAGGGAGGGAGGGAGAGAGAACATCTACAGAGACCACGGAGAACCGGGTGTGAATGAGAAGAGAGATTCCGCACGGAGGAGCCGCTAGAAAGTCTATAGAGCTTCAAAAACAGATTCTTTTGTATTTTGTGGTTCGTCCTTTTTATCCTTCGTCACAACATGGCAAGCAAGTAGTCTCCGATGATGGATGAATTACTCATTGCGCATTGCAAGAGGAGAAGATTGCCAGTCTATCTAGCATGACCAGGCTCGAGAAGACGCCACAGCATCCCAGGAAGCGATCACAGAATCGTTCTCTGCTGCAGGGCTCGAGCTGTTTGGCCAGGTTCATGACGGAGTCCTCTCCATCGTTGAAGTCGTCACTCGTGCTCGTTCATTTGGTTTCCGCAGGTATCCAGCCTTTTTCTTCTTCCGGTCCTCCGAATCTATTCTATTCCTTCCCCGTTGGTATCTTGAAAAAGACCCCTTTCGACTCCTTGGTTGGAGCCTTGTCGCATCTAAAGTAGCCCTTGCGGTCAAATTGAATGACGTCGTTCTCCTTGACGTCCCATACATTGCAGTCAGCCAATGCCGTAGAGGTAAAGACGCTCTTGGGGGTCAGAAAGTCTTCCCAATGTGCTTCCTCCTCCTCTGTCAGCTTATCCTTGGACAGCAAATGGTCGAAATCTTCGAGTTGGACGGGACAGAGGTCCTGGTCCTTGGAAAGCCACGTGACCTTCTTCTTTGTGGCTTTGAAGTCGCCGTCGAGGTGGAGCTCGAGCTCGAGGGAAGCGACATTGCCGAGAGTTTTGACGCCGTCAGCGATGTCGGCTTTGTCGGTGGTTTTCTCATACTGGATGTCACGAACGTACACGTTTCCCCAGTTCATGAGCGTGATCTCTTCGTCCTTGGCGAACGTCCGCGCATCCTCTTGCTCGATGATGATGCTCGAGCTGTACCATACTTTCTTTTCTCCGAGATCGTACTTGGCGTGTTTGGGCTTGATCTCCGAGTATGGGGTTTCTTGTGGGAGACCTTTGACCTTGCAAACAACATGGTTATCGTCAATCGCGGTATATCTGGCACTCGTCTGATCAATGACCTTCTTGTTCATGGTCCAGATGGTATGCCAGTCCATATTGACTACATTCTTGCTGGGTCCCTGACTGACCATGAAATCCCGCAGACCCTCAACAGTCATGCCGCGGCGTCGGATACCTCTTACAGTGGGGAGGCGTGGATCGTCCCAGCCAGACACGATACCGGCGTCCACGAGTTTTGTCAGCTTTCGCTTCGACATCAGCGTGCGCACAAACTGAATCTTAGAAAAAGTCCAGATATAGGGAGACCGCAGATCGATAGCCTTGAGAATCCACTTGTATTGCGCATCTTGGTCGTTGTATTCAGTCGTCCTCAGAGCGTGAGTAACACCCTCGATAGAATCCACAATCGGACAAGCAAATTGATAAGTAGGGTAGGCTTGGTATTTATCGCCCGTTCGGTGGTGGTGGGTCTGATTTTTGGGACACCGGAAAATCACAGGATCTCGGAGAGAGGCATTGTCGTTGGCATGGGATATCTTTGCTCGAATACACCATCGCTTTCCCTCTTCGGAACCCTTTTTCATCTCCTCGTACCTTGCCAGGTTATCCTCGACGCTGTCGTCTCTATGAACACTGGGCTCACGTGCCATTCTTTGTGCGCTCATTACGTCGGCAGGTGTGTCGTCTGCGTAGGCCTTACCAGCAGTAATGATCTTCACACAGTACTCATCGATTTGGTCAAAGTAGTCACTTGTGTAAGAGATCACGTCAGGCTTGATGCCCAAAAGAGCGACGTCCTCGCGGATTGCATCTTGATATTCAACGTTCTCTTTCTCAATGTTTGTATCGTCGAACCTCAGGATCAATTTGCCACCCGGATACTGAATGTGAGCAAAGTAGTCATTGAGTAGAGCAGCTTTCGAGTGCCCTATGTGAAGGTATCCTGAAGGCTCTGGAGGGAATCGAGTGACTACGCCTGCGGCGGCATTGGGTAGTTCCATTTGCTTGATTTTTGGGGCCTTCTTGGCCTTGGGCGCATTTTTGGTCGCCATATTAAGGAGTCGCTTGGTGAGATTGAAGAATACTTAGCGGACGAGGTAGACGGGGGAGAAGCGACTGTCTTATGGCAAACGTTGAGTCATTTTGACTGCGGTGTCTGGATATTTCTGCACAGGCTTTGAGCGGGGACACGGAGTGAATCAGCCTTGCACAAACCTGACAAATCCGCCAAGCTAGTGTTCCATTCGCCAGCCTTCTTGTCCCAGACTGGAGCTGCAGAGACTTGTTAGACATTATTCGTCCCAAGTAGCCATTGATTTGGCTTGCTCCTTGTTTAACCATGGACGTTTCTCGAAGCCTCTCGATGGCTACGAAGAGACTGTGTCGTCTTACGACGTCTTCCTTCCTTGCTCCATTCCTGACACGTGCATCGACGCCATGCATAGCAACAGCTGCTCGAGGCTTTTCCTCTGCCCCAGTCCTGTCCGCAGTGGGCGGTTCTCGGCCTTTATCAGACAAAGAAAAGGCTGCAAGGGAGAAGATCAAGAGAAGGAGGAAGAAGCATAGAGCGTACAAGCAATACAACCTCAAAGACATTGAGCAATTCACTCTGTGCGAAGCAATGAGGTAGGCGAAGACATACTATCCGACGTGATCAAGGGCGTTGTTGACCCGTCGCAGATATATCAAAGCATTCGAAATTGGCCGCGAGCCCGACTCGCCAAAATATGACATTCATATCAAACTCCGCACCAAAAAGGATGGTCCCGTGGTTCGCAATGCGATCCGTCTACCATACCCTGTCAAAACAGACATAAAAATCGCGGTGATTTGTCCTCCCGACTCAACTGCAGCGCAACGAGCGCGAGAAGCCGGCGCCCATATCATTGGGGAAGAGGAAGTATTTGAACGAATCAAAGCTGGCAAAATCGACTTTGATCGGTGCATCGCCGTGCCCGAGTCCTTGCAGAAGATGAACAAAGAGGGGATACCGAGGATATTGGGACCAAGGGGTCTAATGCCGAATGTCAAGATGGGCTCTGTTGTGTCGAATCCGGGACCTGCTGTGAGGAATATGATGGGTGGCAGTACGTATAGAGAAAGACAAGGCGTGGTAAGGATGGCAGTGGGAAGACTGAGCTTTACACCGGAGCAGCTGCGGGACAACGTGAAGGCATACGTCAACGCAGTGAAGAAAGACGCGGCCGCTCTGAGTGACCAGATTGTCAAGGAGATCTACGAGGTGGTTTTGAGCTCCACGAATTCCCCTGGCTTTTCTCTGAATGGGGATTTCTACAAGCCAGCACCGGGAGCTGCTACTCCCCAACAGTTGGCAGTTGTTTGAAAGGGCCATTCATTCTTCAGTGTCTTTGGTACTGGGGTTATATACTGGCTCGGCGTACAGGTATCAAAGGATGAAAAAGAGTTGCTCTTCTGCAAGCCAGCATCCACTTGTGTACATCACTCTTCAACAGCACCACGTATCTGCAACAATTTTTGTTTCTTCTTGACCTCGGTTTCCTGTTTGATGGTCATTTCCAGGTCGGACAGTAAGATCTCTTGAATCTTGCGCATCCGGGCTTCTTGGGCCAAGAGGAAAGGGTGTTGTGGACTGTGTTTGCTCGCCAGGTGTTTCAGGATGAGATATTCGTCAGTCGTGTGCTTTAATCTGGAAGGGATGCCATCAACCTCATCCGAGTTGAATTCCTCGTCAATGTCGTTGGTGGTCGTTTCTCCAACCCACTCCTCACCCCACTGCTCACCGTCACCATCTTTAACGTTGAGTGCGGACAGCTTCGTAGTTGGTGTCGTGATTTCGAGCCTGTCTTCGAGTAGATCTAAGCGCTGCGCAATCTCGAGCAATGCTTGTCCAATGCTCGCCTCTTGTCTCAGCGCCTTTTTCTGTCTCAGCAATTCCGCCACCTCACTCCTTCTCGCGTCAACCTTTTCTCTGACTGCTTTTATGTCTCTCTCGAACCCCAATAGTCCAAGCCGAATGTCCTCTATTTTCTCTTCGCCGCCATACAGCGTGCTTCCCAGCGCAAGGAAATCCTGATAATTGTCGTTGACTAGATCGACCAGTTCCTTGTTGAGCGTCTGGCTTAGTTCCCGCAGTTCTGTCTGCAGGTCTTCAAGAGTCTGGAACCGATTGGACAGACTCGACAAAAAGGCTGCGGCGTCAAAGTCTGGAGCGAGGAACGCAGAACGCTCCAATGGCTTGGGGAAGGGAAGAGAGGCATCGTTGTCATCAGCATCTGAGCCCGAATCAGAGCCGCCAAACTGATGCAGTCGTTAGTTATTGTCCAAGATCAGGCATGCGAGTGAACACACATAAAAGCGATTGCTCATGATGGCTGTCTTCGGACACTAGGTGGGACGCTCTTCAAAGTCGCATTTGCCATTCTTCAACCTGTTTCCCTCACGTTGTAAGATGTCTCGAGCATAGAGGAACGAGGAGGGAGGCCTCTCACAGGCGAGCCTTCCGACACGACTGGCGTTCACAGGCCGAGTCCTGTCTTGTCGTGTGTGTCGCGTCCACACAAGGAAGTTCATTGTCAAGCCACATGTGCGTTTGGCGGGATTGTGAAGAGGTCGACCTGCATCGGATATAAGCAAAATATGCGGAGTTAAGGCTTCACTGGCACAAAGACAGAGAACGGCCTTCTCGGACATTCTGTTGTCCTCGTCTTGTTCTTTTCAACCACAGTTCGATCCCGATGTATTCACTCTGTCCATATTAGCAATACTAACAACATGGATCTAGCCTCTCGAGGTGCCGCTGCTGTCGAGGATAAGGACTTCCCCCTTGCTTTGTCGCTTTACACTCGCGCGCTCATCGACCACCCTTACTCCCCGGATTATTTCCACCAGCGGTCGCTCGTATTCACACGTCTCTCACCACCCCGTTATGACCTCGCTCTGAAAGATGCAGAGTATGCCCTTCTTCTTGCCAAGAAACGTGAAAAGAGGGAGAAGATCCAGGCTGCACAACAGCGACGACTTGTGGCTCTCTACGGTCTCGGACGGTACGCAGATGCCAAAGCGGTTTTGCAGATGATGGAGAAATGGAGAACGACCAAATCTGCGCAGATGGAAGGGAAGATGTGGCTCAATAGGGTGGATGGGAAGTTGAAAGATACTCCCGAGTCTGAGAGGGTGTCGTCTGTGAAGGAAATTCCAGCCATCGACCTGCCCAGTGAGACACAAATGAAGGAGTGGCTTAAGACACAACTAAATCTGGATGGATCTTACAAGTTCGACAAAGACAAAGACGTCGAGGTGACCGCTCCCAACGCCGCTGCCGATACCACTGGTACCACCAAGCCGAACAACGATGAGACTAAACCCACCGCTGCTCCATTCAAGATTCGGCACGAATGGTATCAATCTACCCAGACAGTCACTCTGACACTGTACGCGAAGAATGTCCCCAAAGACGCCTGTGAGATTAATATCCAGGAAGACTCTGTGTCTGTCTCCTTCCCCCATCCGTCTGACCCGTCTTCCACATTTCAATTCACACTCGACCCGCTCTTCGCTCTCATCGATCCATCTCAAAGCCGATACGCTGTTCTATCAACGAAGATCGAGTTGACGCTGAAGAAAGTGCAATTGGGGAAGTGGCATGACCTGGAAGGCGTTGCGCCGCTAAAACCAGTGTCTTCCGAAGTAGATAATGAAACAGAGGAAGTGGAAGGCGGGCGAAAGCCAACGTTAGGGTCGACAAATACTTCCTCGTCGGCCACGGCAGTTACACAACCAACTGTGGTGAAGGATAATCCCCCTTCGTACCCAACCTCCTCCCGCCACGGCCCAAAGAACTGGGATAAACTCGCCGACGAACTCCACGCACGAGCCAAGCAGGAAAGCAAGCCAAGGTCGAAAGAGACGGGCAAATCCAACCCGGATGACCCTTTGAAAGACAAGCCTGCCAGCACTTCCGACACCCGTGCAGATCAAGATAGTGACTATGATTCGGAGTACGACGCTGGCGATGCGGTGGACGGATTCTTCAAGAAGCTTTATGCCATGTCGGACGACGACACACGTAGAGCGATGGCCAAAAGCTTCTACGAGAGTAACGGAACCTCCTTAAGCACCAATTGGAAGCAAGTCGGGTCAAAGAAAGTCGAGGAAGTCAAGAGTTCCCATGATTGAGAACGTTGAGGTTTTGCGTTGGCTCAACGTATGACTGGAGTTTGAGATGCGGTAGAGGCATGGCGTGAAGGAGAATTGTGTGTCCATATGCCACGGCTCGCGACGACATGTGGAGACTGGACGAAGGTGTTTCTGGCGCATGCAGGAGTTTCTGACACACGGATTTGCCAATCAACGAACGACTGAACGAGACATCCCTGTACCAACATCAGCAGCAACAAAATCAGCAACGAAAAGGGCACGAGAATGAGACGGAGATGGTGAAACGAGGAATGAGGATGAACCCGACGGATGAACGCAGCCGGTTGTATGTATCAGCAAGAGACAGATACACACGACAGCGAGTCTCCGGGGTTGGCCGACATGCTCCATATTATCTCGTCATGGAGCTGTCCTCCATCCATCCATACCTAGGTACCATGTATGTATTGCACAGTGTAATTGATTGTACATGGACATGGAATGCGATTCCGTACATGTAGGTGTGTACAGTCCAACACAAGTGCGAAATGTATCCAGCCATCCATCCGTCCATTCAATCATTTCATTCATCTCTCCCGCCTCTAGCATCTGTTATGTACGTCAATTCTTCCTCTCCCTTCCCCTTCTCCCTTCACCATCATCTGTTCGACTACTTGACTACTTGACTACTTACGCCTCCTTACCTTACAGTACTTTATCCCTTTTCCCCCCTTTCAGCCCCGTCCATATCTCGACGGTCCTTACGTAGCATGTATAACTATATATACATCATGCATGCATACGTACATACATACATACCAGTGCTCGTCGCGTGTCGTCTGTGTGTGTGTCGTGTGCGTGTGCGTGCGTGTTCTCGCGTCGTATCGGTGGGGTTTTTATTTCATAGACATAGCAACGGACCTAGTACCTACCCAGTACCTACATAGTACCTATGTCGTGGATAGTTAGTTACGTGGCTATCACAGAGAGAGTGGAGAAGAGAATGGAATGGGAATGGGAATGGACGGGTGAGAAGTAGAAATAAAGGCGTGGAAGAAGAATGAAAGAAAAAAAGGGTAGTCTAGTATGTAGGTAGATGTTGAATGGAGTATCAGTGGGATGGGATAAGATGGGATGGAGTAGGATAGGGCGGTGACGATAAGGCTCCTGAGGGTTTGGCGAAAATAATATCATTGAGCCTCCCTTCTAGTGGTACACTGTTGTCTTCTTTTCTATCCCTGTGGTGGATGCCGGCCTGGCTGGCGCTCACTTTCCCCCTTGTTCTCACTCCTTGCGCCACCCTCCCTCCCTCCCTCATTTGCGCCCTCTCGCCCCACATCTCTTCCAATGATTCAGGAATAGTACACGTGTTGACATTCCTACCTGCACGCGGTCACGACGCCAGGTGCAGGTCTCAAGTTCGAACTCGGTGCGACCGCGTGCCCCGCGGCAGCGGCAGCAGTGCTGGTACTTCCCCTCGTCATGACGGACACGGTCCGCTCAGTTCCGTAGCTGCTCGCCGAGTAGATGCTCGAGGGGGTCGTGCTGTTCTCGCGCCGCCAGACGCGTTGGTGCTGGTAATGCTGCAGGGGCAGTTGGTTCTGGGTGGACAACAGCCCCTGGGCGGGTTGTTGGTGGTAAAGATGAGGGTGGGGATGGTGATAGTGCCTGTGACGGATGGGGCTTGGTCGGCGGAGGTTCGACCGCGAGTTAGTCGCCGATGTCGAGGAGGACCTTGAACGATTCGCCGTCTTGGTGCCTGCGCTGGACTGCGACCTCGCCCTCGGAGTTGTTGTTGAGTGACCCGGTGCGCGTGCAGGGGTGGCAGGTGCTGTGATCGCGAGCGCTGGTCGGTGAATGGGAGGTGCTGGTGGTGGTACAGAGGCCATTGGTGTCGCCGGCTTTCTTGGTGATATTGCTTCCGTGGTGGTCTTCGTTGCACGCTTCGTCGATGGACATGGTGTGGTCGACGACGGGTGGGCGGCCTCAGCTTTTGTTTTGAGGCCCATAGCTAATTTCGATGCAGTGTGGACATTTTCAGCCTGGACGCCTCTCAAGTCTGGAGACGACTTGGAGTGTAATAGCGATGGTGCCAAACCTGAACCGGTGCTCAAAGCTCGAATAGTAGGATCTGCGCTCAACGGCGCATGCTGCAAGGCCGGGGACCAAGTTGGAGCTGGAGCTATTGGTAGAGGTGGGACATCGGGTACACCACTATCGCTGGTCGCAGATACAGTTGCAGGATCCCGGCGCAGGTCACCCCTATCTGGATTGCTATTCGCTCTGCTCCGCGGACGAACTGGCGAAGGATGAATCGGACGCCTTGTACTGGCCGAACGAGAAGACTGCGAGGAGCAGAGGGACGAACTGCGATCATCCAAGTCCAAGCTTTGTCCCTCAGAGACCGAGCGCAGGGTGCTCGAATAACGGCTGCCCTGTGACAAGGCACAAGGTTGATACTTGTGCCGGTGGTCGTAGTAGTAGTATTTGTGTGGATAGATGGCCTTTTGAGACGACAGGCTGTTGCGTCGCTGTAACCATTGCTCGTGCTCCAACCTGCTTGGGCGGCGTTCGGGGACGAGGAAGAGATGGTCGTTCTTCTCAACCGAGAAACCAGAACGGCTGCTTGAGATGGAAAGAGCCGGAGCATGTGCCTGGGGAGCTTTGCGAGACAGACAAGTACAGTAACAGTTCCAGACACCCGCTTGACGGCGAGATAGGTGTTGTTGGTCCAAGAAGGAGAGGCAGGCCATGGAGATGCTAGTAGATTACAGAAGTGTCAGCGAATTTGTCTCACAAAACAGATCTGAGGATATACTGCAGGCTGACTTACGCCATCAGGACAGACAAAGCCACCAGAGCGCGGTGCAGCCGGCAGGAGAGACCGAATCTCCAGTTGTGCTCTTCCAAATCATTCTGCCATTCCTCCAAGGGTCCCCCAAGACACGTGGGTGCTCTGAGCGCGACAAGAAGATTGAGACAGCCCAGGATCATCCACAGAAACACCAGGACTTGGACACACGTAGTACAGAGGGCTTCCAGCCTTGGTGATGCGGTCGAGGGTGATATAGTCTGCAAAGCCTTGCTTCTCTGTCGGAACATGAGGTAACATCGGATCGCCATGATGATAATGGTCGGCAAGGACTGTATCACGGTTAGGGTAAGACTCCCATTGAGACGTCTGCTCATGACTGACAAAGGCAATCGACAGGTTTACCCCGGAAGACGTGGTAGAGCACACAGCTCCTTTCGCTCGTAGGAACACTGCCGTGCATAGTATGCTATAGGCGAGAGTCAAGTTGATACAGACGCTGATAATTCTGTATGCTGACGTGCTCTTGTTGCTCGGGCTGGCCATGATAGTATGCCTCTGATAAGAGAACATGTTGCTTTGCTATTAGCTTGGAGAAGAAGATAGTAGCCATCTTGAAGTCCTGGCGCGACGCCCAAGGGAACCCGTGAAAAATTCACAGCTGCCATTTACAAGAATGCTCGCATAGAAAGACAGGCAAGGGCGGGATGAATGTGGTCGAACTGGGGAGCAGGTGGCTGGATAAATTCCTGTAGAAGGAGCTGAGGGGGTCGGAACAAAGAAATAGAAAAAGAAAAAGGGGTTTTCTGAGCGCAGGGACCCTTGATGGCATCAGTTTCGGTCGAGGAATTTGCCTGTCCTACCTTTCCCTGCCCTTCCCTTCATGTTTCCAAAACCAAATGAGAACCAACAGGGGGTATCATAGAATAGAATGTAATCCGGGGATATCGCCGTTTCGCCAAATGTCCAACACTCGTGACCATCGTACCATCCAATCGTCATTCCATTTCCAATCCGACATCATCATCATCCATCAAGTTCTCTTCATCAACGGCAATCTCCTCATCACCTCGATCGTCCAGTGAGCCTTCCAACAAGGCTCTAGCATACTTTGTGTCCACCTTGTACAGGTCATGAATCTCCGAAACAACGATTCTGATGCCACCTGCATGTTGCAGTGCCTTCAAGTAACAGAACTCTCGTCCGGCGACATACCACACCCATTCCGGGGAAATTCCTCTTGAGCAGACCGTTTTATGGAGGCACGATGCTTTGAGGAGAGCCCAGTCGGATAATGGTCGGTCCTGTTCTGCCTTCCAGCGACGACCAAGCTCATGATCCATTCGTTTTGGTTGGATCGCTCGGAACTTCTCATACACCGTTTCAATCGCAAGGCGATACTTCTCCCAGTCTCTGGCTTCGTCGGGGGTCGGTTCAATCTGGAGATTCAGCCTTGCCCATAGCGCGTCCACCTCTTTGATCTGGTCAAGAAGACCTTGCTTACCCTCCAACAAATCAGTAAGCGTCTCCAAGTCGACAGCATCTGGCCCTTTGATCTGTCGGTCCGACAAACGTGTTGCAGCATCAGAAATATGCTGTTCAAGCCGACACCGAGCTGCTTGTCTCTTCTCTGTCCTATCCTTTTCTATCGGAGATGACCAGTAAAGCCAATGTTGGCTTAGATCTCTGTCGTAGTTGAGCACCATTTCAGCGTCTTTTAGCCTCGCGAACTCTCGTAGCGCCGTTTCTTTCAAGGTCTCGGCAACGTCGAACTTGAGGTAGTCTATTATGTTCAAGAGCTCGTCTCGCTTCCTCGAAGTTCCGGCTTTGTAGGCAGGCTCTTGCAAGCTGCTGGAGCCACTCGATTTCATGCGGATTTTGTGCCACTCTTTTTCAGGAAGGTCCCAACCCTGCTTGGTGCTATCGACCAGGAAACCTGCCAGCGCTGCCAGTTTCACGGCACCAGGGTGGGATAGTTTGTTCGTTTCTCGTGTTTGACTGAGAGCATAAACCAACTTTTCATGTTCTGACGAGCACGAGCCTAGCAAGTTGGGCCGCGCATTAAAAGCAATACATTTGCGAAAATAGTTCTCGAAATTTTCATCGAGCGGGCGTCCTTTGTTGAACGCAACTGATACTAGTTCTGAGCGCTGAACCATACCACACTCAATCTCTTTCGGCATTTGTGGCATCTCGGTGTTGCGAAAATGTCGAACAATCTCTGGGT